GAGACTCCAAGATTCTGGGCACAAAGGGAACTGGGGGCAGGGAAGAAAACCTGAAAATTAAAAAATCTAAGGAGTCAACTCAAAAAGCTAGGAAAAGATCAAAATAAAGCCCAAAACAGATGATTTCTAGGAAATTACACAAATCTTAAAACTGATTCAATTAAAAGTAGAAAAACCTGCTTATAACTGAAAAAGAAACAAATTTAAAACATAAAAAACTGAAAACTATAGTTTGAGTTTAAATGGAAAATACTAGAAACCAAATAACTAAAACTAGTATTTTTAAAATAAGCACATATATGAGAATAGGAGCTTGTCTTAGGGACTCTAGGAGGTTAACCTTCCCATAGAAGATGTATTTATGAAATTTACTATGTTAATAGTGTAAAGGAGAAGAAATCATCAATAGTTGCCCAAATGTATTTCATAACATTTAATAATTATTCCTGATTTTTGTAAAAAATCCAACAAATCCAAAAATAGAAACTCAACTTAAGAGGACATATAACAAAAACCTAGAAGAAATGTACTTAGTGACAACATATTTTATTAACTTAATTCCCCATCAAGATGGAAATACTCTCACAAAGGGGAATTTGCCAGTATCTTTCAATATTACATTTGCAATGTACTCTTTGAGCTAGCAATCCTATTTCTAAGAAAGTCTCCCAAAGACAAGCTGACAAGACGTGAAGTGATATGTGAACAAGGCTATTCACTTTATATTCACTAAACCACTATCTATAACAGCAAAGGCTGGAAACCACAGAAAAAGACATGAACAAGTGAAAGTTGCTCGGTCGTGTTCGATTCTTTGCAAGCCCATGGGCTATACAGTCCATGGGATTCTCCAGACCAGAATACTGGAGTGGGTAGCCTTTCCCTTCTCCAGGGGATCCTCCTAACCCAGGGATAGGACTCAAGTCTTCCGCATTGCAGGCAGATTCTTTACCAGCTGAGCTACAAGGGATGCCCAAGAATACTGGAGTGGGTAGCCTATCCCTTCTCCAACAGATCTTCCTGACCCAGGAATTGAACCAGGGTCTCCTGCATTGCAGCAGGTGGATTCTTTACCAAATGAGCTACTGGGGAAGGAAAAAAAGAGAAAGACCTGTATCTTATTCTAAAAACTAATCTTCAGAATAAATTATTACTTGGAAAAAATGAAGTAACTTCAAAGGGAGTCTAGTATGCCTCATTTTTAAAAATTGGGAGAAATATGAGTATGTTAGTATATAGCATTATGTATTCAAAATGAAACATTGAAAGAAGAAACTTTAGACTAACATGAAGGATTCCCTTTGGAGGGAGGGCAAGAACAGAAGTGAAGAAACAGGGCAGAAGTAAACGTCTCTGAACTACATTGTTTTATAACTCCAACTTTGGACCATGTAAATGTGGTACATAATTTCTTAATGCAAAAACAGAAGCAAAGCAATCCTGAAAAAGAAGTCAACTGAAAAAAATCACCCTAACTGTATATCAAGGTGATAGCGTAACCACACACAGCAGAATTATTTTAGGTGACTTAACATTTTCTAACGTGATGTATATATGTCTTAAGTACATAAAAAGCCACAAGGAAAATCTTTATTAAAATAACATGTAATGTGTGCTTAGTCAGTCATGTCCGACTCCTGCGACCCCACAGACTGTAACCTACCAGGCTCCTCTGTCCGTGGGATTCTCCAGGCAAGAATACTAGAGTGGGTTGCCATTTCCTTCCCCAGGAATTAAACCCCCACCCGGGAATCAAACCCAGGTCTCCTGCATTGCAGGCAGATTCTTTACTGACTGAGCTACAAGGGAAGCCCTAACACACAATAGGTTATTACTAATAATATCAATATTGGGGGCGGTTGAAATTTTATATATTTTGATGTTGTTTGGAACAAAGACTTTCAGCATAAGAAAATAACTACAAGTACATAAAAATGATAGGTGAATTAAAAACCCCAAGATCTTTACTTTAAATGAATGCATAATTTATTTCTACATATTATAAAGTCTAGAAACCTCACAGCTCTGCCCAGTGAAAACCCTAGAAGAGATGAAAACCCAAGAGCAACAGGCGTCCTTAGGCTATAGATTATGATCTCTAAATGCCACAGTCTATAGTGAAAAATAAACAGAAACAGAGGTCCTGGGGAAATGGCCAAGACCAGGTCTGGTTGGGAAACAGACAAAATGAGGTTGAAGCATCTCATCCTGTGGGAGCACAAGCAAGTTACCAAGGAGGACTAGCATCATGTCAGAAGAAGAGAAGCAAATGACCCATGACAGGACAGTCTGAACATCACAGTAATAATAAAACAATGGCTTCAAATGGACCAAAATAAATAACCTCTGCTCTTTCAATCCATGAATTAACAATAATCCCTCCCTTGAGAAGGAAATGGCAACCCTCTTCAGTATTCTTTCTTACCTGGAAAATCCCATGGACAGAGAAGCATGGTGGGCTACAGTCTGTGGGGTCACAAAGAGTCAGATAGGACTGAGCAACTGACCGCAGAAAACTTGTAAGTCATCTTCAAAGACTATTGCAGCATAAATTACTATGCTGTATGTAAAGAATCAAGCATGCATCATGCCTTTCCTCTATTAATTATATTTCATGGCAACTTAACTGACAAAAGAAAGCCTGTCTTTATCAAACCCTAACAATAGATGAAGAAAGAATGATACAATTAAGGGATCATCCTTTTATAATCTCTAATAAAATAATGGACCAGGCTTCCCTGGTGGCTAGGTCAGTAAAGAATCTGCCTGCAAGGTGGCTAGGTCAGTAAAGAATCTGCCTGCAATTCAGCAGACTTACATGCAGAGCAGAAGACCAGCTTCAGTCCCGAGGTGGGGAAGATCCCCTGGAGAAGGAAATGGCAACCCACTCCAGTACTCTTGCCTGGAAAATCCCATGGACAGAGGAGCCTGGTGGGCTACAGTCCACAGGGTCGCAAGAGTGGGAAATGACTTAGTGACTAAACCACCAATAAAATAATGGATTTAAGTACCCATCATCTGGTAAACATTCATGGAGAAATTTACAACAGAAGAAGCAGGGTTGTTCTTCTGTTGATGAACCCACCCATCAATGAACCCACTCATTGATGAACTCACCCATCAATCTTTATATTTAGACAGATTACTTGAAAGACACAAAATACCAAAGCTCACAGAAGCAGCAGATAACCTAAACAGCCCAACATCCATAAAGGAAATTGACGGTGTAGCTAAAAACCTTCCCACAGAGCAAGCTCCAGGACTTGATGGCTTCAAAGGTGAATTACACCAACCACTTAAGAAAAAACTACTGCCAATTCTATCCAAAATCCTCCCTAAAATTCAAGAGTTGGGAACATTTCCCAACTCATTCTATGAGATCAGCAGTCACCTGAGACCAAAACCACACAAAGACATTACAAAACAATTGGAAGATAGAGCAGAAACAACAGAGGAAATAGTTACTAAAACTCTTAAGAAATGTGCAAAATTAGTATGAAGAAAATTCTGATACATTCCAAAAAGACATAAAAGTGTTTTTGAACAAACTGAAAGACATTCCACATACTTTGGAGGGACAAATAAAAAACAAAGATGTCAGTTCACCCTAGGTTAACATATACATTCTTCATAAGTGTAATAAAAGTGCCAACACCCACAGAAAAGCCTAGAAATCTCGAGACAAATGCAAAGATGACTCAGAGAAGAAGGAAGGTGTATGAACAGGCAGAGAAGCCGACCTGAAGTAGATCCCAGTGACCAAACTGGGGACAATTTTAGCTTCACAAAGAATAATGTCTGTAACTGATTATAAATTATTGAGTACATAAAAAGCCAAGAGTCCAAAGTGACACTAAACAAGAAAGACAAGAGAGAGTGTCCTCAAAACTGTTTCTACCATAGCAGGTGATAAATATATCAATTTCGTAATCTGCAAATTGGTGGTTAAAAGAGAAAGGTTAAAGCATTTACCGTGCCATTACAGGAAGTCCCCCAGTTAATGAGGGGAAAAGTTCTCTACAAGAGCTCAGCTAATAAATGCCAACAGAATGGTGCGATTTTCTAAACTACAAAAAGATGATGTAGGCAGGGAGTATTGCTAACGTGCTGCTAAGTTGCTTCAGTTCTATCCAACTCTTTGAGACCCCATGGACTGTAGCCCACCAGGCTCCTCTGTCCATGGGATTTTCCAGCCAAGAATCCTGGAGTGGGTTGCTGTTCCCTCCTCCAGGGGATCTTTCTGACCCAGGGATCAAACCCAAGCTTCTCATGTCTCCTGTACTGGGGGATGGGTTCTTAACCACTCGCACCACCTGGGACGCCCAGGCAGGGTGTATTAATGGATGTCAAATCCATTAGGTGAAAGCATTTGGGGGAATAGGACATTCAGAAATGAAGTATATAATTTCCCCCTTATAGAATATTCTTACCACCAGTGTGAAACTTGAGTCTATGCAAGTCTCTACACCGAAGTTCAAGTTTACAGGATACAAGGAACACCACCAGGTGGGAACCATCAGAACCAGGGCAGGAGTCTGCGTCACCCCCACCCCCGGGGTGATGCCCCCTGCCTCCCGTCCACAAACTCTGGGCTCCTTTGCCCTCACCCTGGGCACGCCCCACACTGGCCCTGTGGGGGCCATCCACCCCATTCACCACACTCCATTGAGAAGGAAGAAGTCGGGGTGGGAGAGGGGGCAGTGGTCGGGCAAAGCAGGAGGTACCAGTGGGAAGGGCAAGCAGAGAATACTCCAGAAGGTAGAGAAGGGGGACGGGAAGATGGAGCCAGAGCCAGCAACTGGAGAGGGTAGGGCTGAGCCGGAAGCCCCACAGCCTGCGATAAGGGGTCTGCGGGGGAAGAGGGCGCAGAGGGCCAGGAAGGACGCGGGTCCATGGTCACTCGGGGGCCTTCCTTAACTCGCATGTAAAAAGTGGTCCCCTCGCCTCTCCAGTCTTTGAATTTCACACCGGAACAAAAACTCAAACTCACTGAGCTTCACCTTTGCTGGCGGAGAGGTTGCGGAAGGAGCCGCAGAGGCAGGACACGCCGCCGCTGTGCATGTCCACGTGGAGCCTGTAGCCGTGCAGTCCTCGCTCGGGGCTGTCGTCCGAGACGGGCGCGTGAGGCGGCGGCTCGTAGGGGCTGAGGAGCGGAACACATGCACGAGTCTGTGAGCCCAGAGGAGGACGCTCCACGGGAAAGGCTCCCGAAAAACGAGCACCCCTCCAAGACGCCAGCTGCCGCCAGCCCTCTGCGGGTTCCGACAGGGTTCAATACCACTGGCTCAGAAGGACGGACGTGTTCCTCTTCTCAACTTCTGTACAAACGGGCAAAAGTCGCGTGTTCCCTGGGCACCCCCGGACCACCAGGACGCAACGTGGGTGGGAGCCGCCCGGACAGCAGCTCTGCTCCGGGCAGTCCTGGCACTCAGAGGGCTGACTGTGCGGCAGGTAGATGCACCGGACAACAGACCAGCAGCGCGGGGACCCCCGGGAGGAGAGCCAGAGCTACGCTGAATGAGCCTTCACCCAGGAAGAAACACACGAGCAGCTAACGTGCCAAACGGCAAGGCACTCGGGAGCTTTCCAGGTTGGTACGCGGGTGCCCTGGGCCCGGGGGGGGGGGGGGGGCGGTGAGAGGAGCCGAGAAACGGACAGCACAGCTCACGCCTGGCTCTCAGACGCCAGGGGCCAGGGGCCTGCCTGCTGCGGCGATACGCGCACGCGGAGCAGCGGCCGGAGCGGGCGGCGTCTCAGTGCGCCCGAACCTCGTACTGCAAGGCGCTGCCCCGGTCTATAGACCGCATCCCACACGGCGCGCCAGCCTGAGCCCCAGCGGAGGCTACTCGCAGGTAACCCAGTAACCGTTGGCAAAAGCTGCGTAATTATGCCCGTCTGCTTGCGGCTACTGATGAAAAACAGGGAAGCTCTTCTCAGAATGTTAGGACGGTTTCACCTCAGACTCCCTTACACTGACTGTACAAAACTGCACAGTGATACATACACAACAGGCGACCCCAGCATGCTCCTCTCCACGAGGAGGTGCAGATGCAGGTTTGCCATAACGAACGCCAGCTCCTCCTCCCTCTGCAATTAAAAGAAGACGTGTGTCAGTGGAAATATTTTCATTGTTTACAGGGTCGCTGTTTTTGATCTCAGCACATGCATCTCACAGAGAGATGTGGTGTCTCAGCGTCTGAGACCCCGCGGTGCTAACTCACCATCACCATCTGATAAAACGACGTCACAGAGACGACACGACCACGAGGCACCTGAGATGCACAGCGCATGGAGCCAAAAACATTAACACCTTGCACCCGTGAAACATCAGAGTGCCCTGTGACGTATGGTGACTGTGAGAATATACACTGTTAATTCCAGGTTGTTTCGGAGGCTTTTCACAGATAAAGAGAACGCTGGTGAGACCTCCACCATCGGGTCAGCCAGAGTCCTGGCACCTGTGTGGCCAACCCAGATGGACCGACTCACGAGCCCAGAGCAAGCCACCTACGGCATGGTCCACAGTCACCATGTGCAGAGGGAGGGAGTGAGGAAGAGCAGAGGCAACGGCAGAATGAGGGGAGAGGAGGTCTGGAGGCTGGTGTAGGGGCCCGGACTCTGCCTAGTCATTGGGGACATGTTTGAACCATTCTCACAATCAGCTTGTTCACAGGCCGCAGCCACAGGGGCAAGCCGGCCTGGCTGCGTGGGGAGCAGGACACTGTCGCCCCTCACTGCCACAACTGCCCAAGGGATGAGGAGGAGCTGGCGGACTGGAAACCATCCCGGGGAAAGGAAACACCTGGGGGGCTGCTCCCCCGCCACGAGCAGACACACCGGTGATCCCCCGGGGTGAAACAGGCAGGAAGAAGCTTCGGCAGAGCGGCAGGCAGGAGCATGGACTGCCTGGAGAGGAGAGGACGTCCTGGGAAATCACAGGGAGATGGGAACCCAGCAGGCGGGCAGGAAGGGTTTGTGCCGTGGGCGCGGGCAGCAGTGGGACCCGGGCGGGAAGGTGAAGGCGTGAGGGGGCAGCAGGAACGGGACCCACCCTCTGCCCCACACTCGAGGGGAGCGGCTAGGGTGTGGACCGGAGGCCGCGGGGCGGGTGCACGCCGGGCTCACCTTCCAGAGCCCCACCACGAGGCCGGGGGGCAGGCAGAAGACCCGCGTCAGCCTGTCGCCACCCACCGCGCTGAACTCGCTCAGCTGGCTCAGTTGGTACTTGGTGATCAGAGAATGCCATCGGGGCCTTTGAACGTCATGCCAAAGAAAGCAGAGAGGAACGTGAGCTCTGGCTGGCCCGTGCTGCCCACGCTCTTCAGTGCGTCTAGAGAGACTTCTAGGAACATCTAACCATGCACAGGTAGCTCGTAGGGAGAGACAACCTGCATAAATAAAAAGCAAACAGGGTAAGCCCAGAGTTCTCCCCGGCCCCTGCCCTCGCTGCAGTGAGCGGCACCATCACCCAGGGGCAAGAGGGCCGTCCTCACAAGCCTGGACACCACCGCCATCAGGAGCAGAGCCCCAAAGGACGGGCCTTGATAACGCAGAAGATGAAATCCCTTAAATGACAAAAAAGGAGAGGTCCACTAGTCTACCTGAAAGCAGAGTCACCTCTTCAAGTTATCATCAAGAACAACTCAGAAACAGTGGAAATTGTTAACATCAGAAAATAAATTTAAACCAAAATCACAAGGGTTTTCATGAACGAGACACAGTGTGAACTCTGTTACAATTCAGAATCTGAGAGTAAGTAACTCCCACGTGCAAGAGAACACAGCTCAGCGCTACTCCCCGTGACACACACATCAACAGAAGGATCTTTTGATCACCTGTTCCACCGCGGTGGATGGAGGTGTCTGTCATTCCCAGAGGCAATTCAGGAAAATGAAACCGGGAGGGAGGGGAGGACTCGGTGGCCGGTTAACACAGCTCAGCTCCAATCAGAGGGAACTCTCTAAGGAGAGGGGGGCCCCGGGGGCCCCTCCAGCACCTAAGACACACACCAGCTGGTCACGGGTGTTCAGATGTCCATTAGGCAGAAGCACGTAAAAACCACGGTGTTCCACCATGCACTCTTTGAAAGCGAGGGGCTCTAAGTGTGGAAAGCAGACCCCTCCATGGCAACCTGACCAGCCGAGCCCCTCATCCAGCTTCTTGTGCTAAGAACCACACAGGTTAGGTGAGCGTAGTGTGAGGCAAGGATCTAAAAATACACCGAGCGTGAGGAGAATACCCTGGGGGAAGCTGAATACCAGGCTGGAGACCGAGTGTAGAGTTAGGAGAACCGGAGCTGAACGCTTAGCTCCAACCCTGCATGCTGTCTCAGCGTGACTTCACCGGTGTCTGGGGAGGGAGGGCGGGCAGGAGATGACACGAGAGCCTCTCTCTAGAGCACGCGGCACCACGAGGGACTCGGGGGCGGCAGCCACTGCGATGATGTCGCCAACGTGGATGCAAGTGGGTGGGGCTGGGAAAATACCCCGAAAGGAGCCCCAGCCCTCAGACCACGGCTCCAGACCAGTTTGATGGACACCTCAGAGGCCATGCCGGTCCCCGTTGGCCTTGGCCTTACAATTCACCCTGACGCAGAAACTAAGGCTGACGGTGACCCGACATTTCTCACAAGTCCGGGAGGCAGAGCATCCCCTGAAGAACAGAGAACACCAGAGACACAGACAGCATAACCCGTCCGACCAGGAAGGCACGTGTTACAGGGATGTGCAAACTGGAAATCACATAAATAAGGCTTTCATTGTTTAAAAAAAAATCCTCATAGAGGAAACAAAATAAAAATCACCACGTCTTTCCTTTGCTGTCACACAGATGCAGAAGGGTTTTCATTTCTGCACCATGGACGCATCTGCTCACAAACCTACAATAAAAGCGTCGATCAAAACAGACTCCTGAGAAGCACTTTCAGTTTGTTCAGCACCACGGATCAAATAAATGCCGGCTGAAATTCAGTGGGTTTTAATGGAAATAAATTACATTAAATGAATTTTCACAGTGAGTGCTAGCTTTCTGTCACTGTGCAGTATCAGGTATTCCTGACTTGGATGACAGTTTCAGGAACATCATATCTTTGAGTGAGTTTACAATTCAACACCACCCATTTATGAACTTTCATGAGCGTTTTACTTTGATGCACACTGTTCTGTCCTTGTCCCTATAACCATAATCTCATGATGTGCCAGTAACGTACTGTTCAGTCACACAGGTACAGAGGCTGCAGACTCACTCTCTGAAAACAATTTCACGGTGCATAAAACCTAAACAGGGCAGTAGAAAAATCTAGGGTCCACAATGATACCAGGTAGAATTTCAGAGATTTATGCAGATAAAGGTACCATTTCAAAAAAGTAGCTGTTCCCAAAATATCTTTAGCTAATATAGCCAGGGGAAGTAATGCCCATGTTTTCCTTCACAGTAGTAAGAATATTTTCGGAATACAATAAAACCTGGACTCACTAGCACTAGGAATACGACACCCCCATGGTCACAGCACGACAACCAGACCAGAGATCACTGCAACAGCCCTGAGAGAGCCAGCGCCAGGGGCAGGACCACAGACAAGCGGCTCGGCCACAAACTGCAGAATCGTGTCTGCATCCGGGACACCTGGAAAGAAGGCAGTTCTGCTGAGCAGAAGGCAGATGCTGCAGTGAGATTTCAACACCTTCCTTGGCAGGGGCTGGGAGCGGAGACCATGGTGGGGCTGCAGCTCCAAGGGCAGTGAGAACAACGTGCTGCGAGGTCAGAGGGGCTGGGGGCATAAGAGAAACTGATGCCAGAGAAGGCAGCCACCACCTCTGCATTTCCACACGCGGAGATCCAGGAGCTTGGGATGCCACACGGGACAAAATCCAGCTTAGAAAAGTAAGCGCGACTGAGTTCTTGGGAAAACCAAAAGCCTAAGAATGAGTGTGAACCCAGGGCACAGCTACCTCACAACGGAATAATAACAAGGACTCAGTAGCACCAGCAATAAGACACATCAGACCCGATGTGTGTGCAGCAGTAAGACCTGACATGCGCACTGGACAGTGAAATTCTGTGATCTCACAGCAGCCATGCACACTGAACACTGCGTCACAGCCATCCTTACCCCACCTCACAGGTGAGAGCGTGGAGGCATGGAGCAACAAGCCACCTGCAGGAGACGGCACAACCAGCGAGCCCAACAGAAAAGCAGACAAAATAGTGAATGACTACATGGTCTAATGCTTAAACTATGACTACTGCATCACCTTCTAAAGAAGGGAAATATAATCATTTTATATGTCTCTGTACTAGAATGGTTCTAAAATGAAAAACCTCAGAGGGTCAGCCATCTATCATTCAGGAAACTGTCACGAGAAAACCATTCCCTAAGCCGTGGATAGGGATTCCTGGATGGCTCAGTGGAAAAGAACCTTCCTGCCAGTGTAAAAGATGCAGGTTCAATCGCTGGGTCGGAAAGATCCCCTGGAGAAAGAAAAGGCAACCCACTCCAGTATTCTTGCCTGGAAAACCCCACAGACAGAGGAGCCTGGCGAACTACAGTCCATGGGATCTCAAAGAGTCAGACATGACTGAGCAACTAAACAACAACAATGAGCTTATCGATGCATAAGCCCCTTCTTTTCCTATTTGATAGTAATCCAGAATGAAAGAGAAGGCTTGCAGATGCAATCAAATCAAAATATTTTTTAACAAGGAAAGGCAGGCCAAGAGTCGCTCCCCGTGACACAGCCTTGCCCCCCAGCACGTACCTGATCCTGGTGGGGGTCCTGGACTGGCCCATGAACACTGGCGTCACCCCACACAGGTCCAAGGTGGACAGCGTGGCGAGCGGCGGCCAGGCCTTGCTGTACCACACGACCGTGACGGAGGAATCGTTGAAGGAGAGGTGTGCGTGCTCCATGGTGTACTCTCTCCCATCGTCCCCTCTCAGTATGATCACCCAGCTTAAGCCAGACATTCTGAAGACAGAAAAGCGAGCGAGAGTGTTTGCATCATGGCAAAAAATAAAAATGAAGTCTGCCACATGTCATCTAAAGCTCCAGAACACGCCTGGTCTGAGTTTTCAGGCCACAGCAGCTCTCTCGGGACCTGCCTGTCCCCTCACCTCACAGACACCCGTGGAACCACCGCTCTGTGCCAGGAGCCGGCGACACACAGGTGAAGACGACTAAGGCTCTGCCCGCTGAGCAGGGCCTTGCATCTCCCGCTTTATTGGAGCCGACTACCAGGCCACGTGAAACCTTTGGACCATATATGTGGGATGGGAAAATACCATTTATTTTATAGGCACACAAGACCACAAAACATCCAACAGTCCCTCCCCATGTAAACCACGCGTGCGACCTGCACACACAGCACTCGGGGCTCAGGCCATCCTTCTTTGCTACGTGAGGCCCACCTGAGGGCCTCCTTGGTCTTCAGTGGGAGGCCTGTGTGGGGGTGCAGAGGTTTGAGAACCCGCGCTAGAGCTGCCTTTACAGACGCTATCTGTTTCGTAAGATACTCTTTCTTCCAATATCCAGCTTCTTTATCCCCTGCTGACAGTAAGTTCACAGACAAGTCTGTCTTCTCTGCCGGATCAACTCTCCAATGAGATCTTTTAGGTGAAAAGGCAGCTGAGTAGATTCTGATCCAAATAAAACTGGGGGACAGGAAACAAATGTGTTAACTAAGAGACACTGTCACACGCCTGTAACAAATATGTTAGAGAAACACAGAACAACTGTTTTACATGATTTAACAACAAGTTAAATAACGGTTATCTAGTTATTTCCATGACTAAGTCAAACTAAACGTTCACAGCTGCTCAAGTGTCAACACGAACTGTTGTGTGAGGTTAGTGTTTTAGATTTACCAACTCTAGAAACACATACTAATGGGAAAAGCGTGCTTCCCAGGCCTGAGGGAAATGAGCGATCTCGTTACCCTGGTGTCATCCCAAATAAAAGGTGCCTTCTTACACCAATAATTGAAAAGGTCTAACATAGGAGAAAGCAAGAAGGGTACACAATGTGACTTCCTAGCTTGTATACATGCGTGTCTTTGAAAAGATCAGAAAGCAGTTTTATGTATATACACAGAGAAATGCCGATGGTAACTGACATGTATTTTAATTTTTTAACAATGAACATGAACTGCTTGCACAAAGAGGATAAATTGAAGATGATTAGTAACACCTGACAACAGGTAACATTTTGGAGCACTAGCTCTGAGCACACTTCAGCACTTCACAAGCACTCACTCACTTCGACCTCCCAGCAAACCCAGGAGGTGGCAGCTACAACTGTCCCCACTGAATAGACAATGTGACTGAGGCCCAGCTGCAAGGTGCCCTGCCCAGGTCTGTGTTCACTGGTGACAGAACCACCACTGAATCCTCACTGCCTCAACCCCCACCTGTCCCTGACTCTTCAGCAGCACCGAGACACAGGCTCCAACAATCGTATCCACACCCAGAGCACCCATCAGCCGTGGCACTGGAATTCCAACACCACTCTGACCCAGAGCCCGAGGCTCTGGAGCAACGATGGGGGCTGAGCCGGGGGTCCCCTCGCCAACACTCTCCAACAGGAAGGAAAGACACTCCGGAGGGAAACTAAGGCAGGAGTTAGCTTGGTTTCCTGGTGTGAAGGGTGAAATTTACATAATTAATTATTGACTAATTCCTGTCTCTGCATTTCTATTGAAAGCAGAAAAGGATGATCTGCAAGAGGCCTGGGAGGCAGGACTTCTGGAGCAGAAGGTCTGGAGGGGACAGCCTTTTCTGATAGCATAACGATTCAACATTCCATGCAGGACTTCCTAGCAAACTAACAGGCAATCAGACCCCACCTGCTACCAACATCGCTTTCTAGTGTGAGTTTTTCTAGTCATTTCTCCCCTCACAAAATCATTTCACTCCAAGATTTGTCTTAAAGTATTCATGTTTCAGCTCATAATTTTATAGGCTTTTGTACATGGGCTAATAGATGCAAAATAATGATCAGTTGAGAACATCCAGATAACCTGAGCTCTTTCACCAAAATCCCTTGAGGAGACGCTTGCTTTCGAAAACTCCGTTTGCATAAATGCCTGTCCGTGCATTCTTCTGATTTACTCAGGTCACTCCACTTCAGTGTTCTTCTACTTCAGCAAGATCTCCACTGAACCCCAAACTTCCCAACTGCGTGCCACAGGGACTGCGGCTCGTTTTATTTTCCACAAGCTCCGGCACTCACAGACTACAGAACACAGGTCTGGGGAGGAGCATGAGGGGCAGGGTGGTGATGTCACACCCTTGGCTGGTCACACCACCCTACACTTGTGTGATGCACCACTTTCACACACAGTATCTCACCTAATGAACCATCGGTGGAGCCTCAAGAGAATAAAAAACATCCTACACAATTAAAATATTTAGTATTACGTATATTGTTCCACTTCATTATTTATAAAACACAAAGGTCAAGCTTAAGAGGCTTTCAGACAGTCCCTAAACCCAAAAGCATTCATTTCTTGATCACAAAATGCCCCACCTGGTTAAAAAGCTAGAGCAGACTGAAGGGCAAGAGCTATCTGACTGTGAGCCAAGCACAGGAAGAATTCCCTCAGGTTGCTCAGGAAACGGGGCCAACTGAACGTTCTGATGAACAGTGTTTCCCGGGCACTGGAGAGAGCCAGGTTCAGCCCGATCCAAGCTTCCCTGTGACACCACCCCACCCCCCCCACCGCAAAGCCCGGGGCTCACGCCGAGGGCTGCCCCATGCAGGTGAGGGGACAGCCCCCCAGGCAACAGGGGCAAAGGGAGACCCCACCCTTGTGACGCGTCTCCCCATAAGTCAGCAGTGTACCTGGCCACGGGATGGCTCCTGTCCTCTCTTCAAACAAAGCTCAAAAAGTACCACCAACTTCTCAGGAACATTCATGGCTTACCTATTCAGTTCTTCACGTGTCCTTTTATGAAGTCTGGCTGTGAAATCAGACTGTAACTCTTAAGAATACAATTCAACTTATCCCACTAAGACTCTCCTCCATAAAAAGAGAACAAACACGAGGGTAACTTCATAAGCAGCTCAGATTTTTACAGACAACCATGTCCAAGAAAGTGGGGTGGATAGATAACCGACAACAAAAGTGCAAAGAATCTAACTACACTGAGGCTCCCAGGCCCCTGAGAGCACAGAGCCTGCGCCCCGTGAGCCTTGGACAGAGGGGCAGAGACTAGGGAACTCACGGCTTAGGAGTCTATCTGAACAGTCTCAGCTCTGTCCTTGAATCAAGAACCCCCAAGGAGCTACAGTTATGGTCATTTACTCAACCCCCTCCTTGAAAAACACCTCACTGCTCTTTGCTTCGGAGAATGTCTTTCTCTCTGAGGGTCACTAAGGAAGAGACACACAAAAGTTGCTTTCCATTCATTCTCGAATTATCTCAGGACCTGACACTACGCATATATACTGACACAGACATGTATTTTCTCATACAGGAAATAGCTTTTTTAAGTTCACGGATAAGAAAACCACCCTGACCAACCAGAGAATGGCTTATGTCCCCTTCTTATTATGAGAACACGGCTGGAGAAATTTTGAACACATATTCTAGAACACAGAATTTAAATCTGCAGAAATGTACACCAGGGGTCCGATACCTTTTTCACCTTTCCCACTGACTCTAATGCAGCTGTTGCAGGCCCCGCACTGAGGAACACTGTGCAGGTGTGTCTACACACCACAGCCCTCCCCCGTCCCTCTCCACCCGCTCACCAAGTAAACCAGCCCTGAAATCCGCGTTCCCCTCCATCATGCTCTGCCCTGGCTGACACTGGGCTCCTATGGGGACCAACACCTGTCTGACCTTCTGATGGTAAAGACAGAGAGGTATCACAGTCAAGACCCCATGAGCTCTCCAGAAGCTGGGGGGAGCCCACTTCTCAGCCTCAAGACAACGTTCTGAGCCGCCGACAGAAATCACAGCGACAGCACAGAAGAAGGGGTTCCACCCCTCTTCCCATGGACCCCCCACCAGCCAGGGGGCTCTGCGGGCCTCCTCCCCCGGGGCAAAGGCTCCCTGGGCATGCTCCCTCCTCCCCATCCCTCCCCTTGCGCCCCTGCACCAAGCACGTCCCATGGCAGGCAGCTTTCAGGGAGCCCCTCCCTTGTCTTCCTGTGGGGTCTGCTCCACAAGGCCCAGCAGGGTCAGCAGGGTGGGTCAGGACATGTCCCACGGCTGCTGCAGGCTGCAGGGGAAGCCTGCCCACCCCTGGGGAACAGCGAGTCCTCCCGGACAACAGGCCTGAGGCCACTTCCTCCAACAGCTACATAGAGAACAAGTGAGACCTTTTCCAGTTCATGCAAAGAGTATCCCTTTCCTAAAACCTTTGAAAATTTCACCGGTAGACATTTGTCTGAAACCACTCTTGAAATTCTTCTAAATTCTCGAAAATGGTTCAAAAGCTCCCGCTAGTTTTCACCACTTCCCTCACCACGCCACTGGGCACACAGCAACGCGCAGTCTGCTTACTTGTCGCTGGCCAGGTGATAGAAGCGCCTGTTCACGCACCCGGCGCACAGCAGGGCCGCCGCATCCAGGTAGGACAGGATCTTCAGCAGGACCTCTGAGGGCAAACTGGGGGGGCGGGGGGAGACGAGTCAGAGCAGCTTCCAGAAAACACCTGGCCGTTCATCTCCCAACGCAAGCGGCCCTTTCTGTGCAAGAAGCCTGGGGCTCCCATGGCAGCTCTCAGGTGTCTCTCCTTCCTGCCTCCTCAGGCAGAGAAGTGAACGAGGCAATGTCAGAAAGCAAACGGCATCAGAGCTCTGAGCGTACAGCCCCACCCCTGGGCCCACAGGCAGCTTCCCTTGCCCACCCCCCAGCACCCGCTCTGGCAGCAGGTGCCGACCCCCCCCCACCCCGCCCACCACACTGTCCCTCTCTGCCGGCTCTTCTCCAGGCCCTTTCATCTCCGTGTTCAGTTCTCAGCTTAAATGTCAGCTCCTCAAGAGAAGTCCTGCCTGACCATCCCACCCTATTAATTTGGATTAGAGTCCATTTGCTTTCTGGACAGCACGTACCCCAATTTATAATCCACTCCTTGTTTTAATCTGGGTCCGCCACAGGACTGGAAGCCTCAGGAGAACACATGTGAGTAGCTCACCAACTGCCTCCTTCCCAAAGGAGGCAGAGGCGTTTGGTTCAGAAGAAGAACCAAAGCAGAGCGTTTGGTTCAGAGAAGGCCCTAGGGTATCCATGGACAGATCAGCTGAAGCACTATTTGTTCTAGCTCTCCTATCAGATTGCTGTATAACAGAGTCTATTCCCAGAGAAGAATAAGAAGACAACTCTTGAGAGTGCCTTGGATAACAAGATGAAACCAGTCAATCCTAAAGGAAATCAATCCTGAATTGAAAGGACTGATGCTGAAGCTCCAATACTTTGGCTGCCTAATGCAAAGAGCCTACTCATTGGAAAAGACCCTGATGCTGGGAAAGACTGAAGGCAGGAGGAGAAGGGTCGACAGAGGATGAGATGGTTGGATGGCATCACCGACTTGACGGACATGAGTTTGAGGAAATTCCAGGAGACGGTGAAGGACAGGGAGACTGGTGTGCTACAGTTCATGGGGTCGCAAAGAATCAGACACAACTGAGTGAATGAACAACAGAAAAATTCCCAGAGCGTATGGTTTAAAGTTTAAATCCATGTCCTTAGTTAAATCTTTCTTTTTTGACTTTTCCTTTCTTTTTAAAAACACAGTACAAGTACGGACACTGTTTCCTGAGTTACGATGCGATGTTAAAAGTCCAAAACTTGCACTCAGGCTTTCTGTGTGAATCCGAGCTCTGCAGCACGTGGACTAGGGGAGCCCACGCCCCGCTCTGTGAGACGTCCCTGGTGGCGCCGACCTTTGGACTGCACAGGAGAGAGTGCACGGCTGCTGCCGCAGGGGCAGTAGTACAGTAGGAAGCCACAGGCATTTCAGCATCAATTTCAAATAGCATTTTTCAGTTTCTAAGATCTTGTTGTTGAGGGTCACAGAATGGAACCTGACATGACATAAAAGGGTTCCCCAAACCCTGAAAGCCAAGTAAGCCAGAGACCTCCTAAGCTTTCCAAAGGACACACTCTAATCTTCCTTCTCCTTTTTCAAGGGTCTTTATCAAGGGAAAAGTGAGTAATTGTGAAGAACATTTTTTAAAAAGGAAAATTAAATGCACTTGTCACTTTTACTAGTTCAGCTTCATGAAACTAGTCTGACGATGACAGTGACAGGCTGTGGTGACTCATAGCCAGCTCTCCATGTTGTACTTTCTCCCCGCACACTTCTATTCTTAGAGAGCTCAAAATAGCAACCTGGGGTATCCGGCACTAAATTTTCTCTAATGACGCTGCCCCCCCGAGCTGCGGCAGAGCACCTCCGCCCCTTACCTGTCCAGGGACGCAGAGCAGCCCGCGCGGGGCCTCCCGTAGGCCTTGTCCTGCCGGGCACAGCGACTCAGGGCGGCGGGGCCTTCGGGCAGCGTGGCGCCTGGCCTCGTTCTGAAAGCAGACGTGGAAAATACAAACTACAAAGGTGAACTGTCCGTTCCCCTCTGTGAAACAGAAAGGATTCATACACTCCAAAGACCACTCCCTGTGAAACTTCATCTACAGAAGGGGAGGTGGGTTGGAGGGGCAGTCAGACATTCAGTGTCCTGAGCAAACCTGAAGGCTGGGCTAACTCTGCTGCGTTTTACACACCGTCAGCCCATCAAAAGGTGCTACAGGGAGAACTTAGTGGAAACAGTGAAGCACTTATTCTCCAATCAAAAGTAGATAATTTTTTAAAAAGCATACTTAATGGAAACAAAAAGGGAAAAGATAAAATGTGTCAACTGTCCAGTTTAAATAACACAATAGAAAAACAATAAAGTTGACATCAACAGAGTTAAAAAAAAAAAACACTTAAATTCCTGAACTGGATGTGGCACCATATCCAGGTGTGCCCATCTTGGAGGGCTAACGAGTGGTCCCAGTTCTGGCTCCGGCAGTCACAGCCGCAGGAGGACCAAACACCCACCCACTAAAATCAATGTTCATCACAGTCACTCCAAGACCAGCCGTTCTCAACACCAGCTGGGCAGGGATCTGAGACGCCCAGAAAGCCAGCAAGCTCACAGCTCCTGGTGGACACGCTGCTTCTCCTGGGGAGAACTAGAACCTGCTTCTTCACCTGCCCTCCCCATACACGTGACCCCCTCACCCCGCCCACTGCCACACACACACACACACACCATTCACTGACCCTCCCAGCCAGCAAAGCATTTCAGAAGCCAGTAGAACCTAGAGATGCGGTATCCACACGCTTGGTTCACCAACCCTACAGCTCTGAGGATACACTCTGTTCACCACAGGTTTAATCACCACATCCCATTTTTCCTAACAGATACGCACAATGACTGCATGGGGGCAAAGGGAGGGGACCCCAAGAACTTGGAAGCCAGGGCAACAGTCTCTCTGGGAGCGGAAGAATGAAGTCCACATGGACAGATATGGACAGAGGATGACCCTTGACCGTGAGCACAGCCTGCTCTCAGGAGGCTTGGGGATGGTGCTGCCCACGGACTTGGCATCACCTGGTACCCGCCGTGGAGACAAACATGCCAGGATGGACATGCCAGCAAGCACTCAAATAGCCTGACGATTCCCCAGGTGCTTCTGTGCAGCCAGAGCACAAGTTTCTCTTCCCTGGCTAGATTTTTCTCTTCAGAAACGAGCATACTGGCTGGCACATGGCAGGCCTCCAGAAAACACTGTGATCCTCTGTGCGCTGGCATCTCAGCCCAGGAGAGGCAGAGTACACTCCAGATCCTGCTGCCTATCCATCCCAGCTTCATATAGCAGGAGGCTCTCAGGTGCTCGTCATCTTGCCTGACTTCCTGGCCCAGTGCAGAAACGCAGAGCCAGAGAGGGCAGGGTGAGATGCTCCTTTGGAAAGCTTTGCAATGCCCTCTCCCCCTTTAGTCAGAGAATCCACCTGGGCAGTAATTTTTATACTTCTATTGACATTTTTCTTTAAGCAAAGATTTCTATAGCCAACAAGCTTCAAGTCCACTGATCTTGCTATAATGGCAACCAGAAGTAAAAGACAATCTCCTAATTGTCTTAATTTCCTAGGGCTGCCTTAACAAAGTGGGCTTCCCAGGTGGCTCAGAGGTAAAGATTCTGCCTGCCATGCAGGAGACGTAGGTTCGACCCCTGAGTTGGGAAGGTCCTCTGGCAAAGGAAGTGGCAACCCACCCCAGGATTCTTGCCTGGGAAATCCCACAGACAGAGGAGCCTGGCGGGCCACAGTCCAGGGAATCGTAGTCGGAAGAAACTGAGCAAACATGACTTAGAGCACCTTTAAACCAGGGTGGCTTGAAACAACACAAACGTATCGTCTCACAGACCTAGGGGCCAAACAGGAAAACCAAGGTGTTGGGAGGACCATGCTCCCTCCCTGGGCTCTAGGACAGACTCCGTCCCCGCCTCTTCCAACTTCTGATGGCGCTGACGGTCCTGTGACTCGTGGCAGCTGAGCTAATCCCAACCTCTGCTCCCTCCTGACAAGGCGGCCTTCCCTGCATGTGTGTGTCTCCATACACAGCAGCAGTCACGTTCAGTGTAGGATCCACCCTGATCCAGCATGACCTCATCTTAGCTAATGACATCCGCAGAGACCCCAATTCCAAATAAAGGCCGTCCTCAGGTTCTGGGTAGACATGAGCTTGGGAAGAACGGAAGAAGCGGGCACAATACACAGTTCAACACTGCACGCACAGTTTTTTAAAGCATTCCTTATTTTAAGCAGCTAACCAATCCTGCAAACTCTAGATGACCTGTGTTACTTATTCAAAGAAAACACCTTAAGGAGACAAAGCTTTCTAAGCTTACTTAAGCTTTGAAGGATTTTTTTTTTACTCTTCCATTTAATAACAATATCTATCAAGTCCTCACTGGGTTACCTTCAGACCCCTACACAAGTGTGCCCAGAAGTCTGAGAGTCTGTACACAGGCAGATACTATTGACCAGTGACTGAGGAGCGTCTCTCACAGATATTTTATAACTTAAACGAATTCTGCTGTGGTGGCTGACCAAATACAAATTTGTTTAGAAGCATTAGTAAATTGATAACAGCTTTTCGCCATTATGTATTTCTTCAATCAAAAGATGAAAAAAAATCAAAACGGTCACCCTAGGCCTTTCCAAGGAAACCAAAGAAAAGTAAAATAGATCTATCCATCAGTTTCAATCTAGCAAACTGGCAAAGACCCAATAAGCGATGATAAGGGTGGCTTGGCTGCAGATGAGCAGGCGTTCTCCTTCACTACTGTGAGCATGGATTGGTGCCAAGCACAGGGAAAGGCAAGTCCTAGTAAATATCGAGATCCTTCGAAGACATGTATTTTTTTAAGCCAAGAACTTCAGGTCTAGAAATACATCCCAAGGCAAAAAAAAAAAAAAAAGAGAGCCCAAAGGATTCACTCTGGAACATTCATCTCAAAGTTGCCTACAGTGGGAAAAGTACTAGAAACAGTATTTGGTTGTTGCTGTTTAGTCATTAAGTCGTGTCCAACTCTTGTGACCCCATGGACTGTAGCGCACCAGGCTCCTCTGTCCATGGAATTCTCCAGGTAAGAATACTGGAGTGGGTTGCCATTCCCTTCTCCAGGGGATGTTCCTGACCCCGGGATCAAACCCGAATCTCCTGTACTGGCAGGTGGGCTCTTCACCACTGAGCCACCAGGGAAGAAGCCCCTAGAAACAGACAGGGATCAGTTCATTCCCATGGCCTCCATAAAAAAGCAACATTCAGTCAGTTAAAATGGACAGCTGCAACTCAGGTGGGAGGGTTTGCATAAAAACAAGTTCACAGCATCTGCAAGGCCGGCTTCTTCACCTCCTACACACAGTGCCTGCAAGCTTAGCTGCTCAGTCCCGTCTGACTATTTCAAACATCACCATCTCACTGAGATCTTCCAGCCATGGCCTCTAAACTCCAGACTCCACTTCACACACACACGATGCCCCCCATTTTTTTCCTTAGCACGCATCACCAGACACCACACATTTCACTCGCCCACCATCACTGGGGTGGAAGGGCTGTGCTGGCAGGACTTCTGAATGAGTTCTGTTCACTGTCTATTCTTCAACACCCACAACACCCCCAGCATGAAGAAGGCATTCAATAAATATTTGCTAAAAATAACACATTGATCAAAAAATGCAGATTCTATCAGCATACACTACAAAATCTTTTATTTCTATTTCTCTCTTCAGAGGAAAAAACCAAACATACACACAAAGAAAAGCAGTCTGCAAGGAAAGATAACAAAGTATTAACTGGTAATACATCTGATTCACAAGATTAGGGGATTACAGAGTTTTTGGCCGTGCTTGTTTTTAAATAGAAGCCGGAAGATTGGAAAGAACACAGTGTACTCTCTAATATTTCCTGTGTACTGAAAATGTAATGAATTGTAAGGGAGGGTTGTTGTTCTCATTTCAAAACTGAGAAGCCCAAACACAGGAAGGTTTGGGAGCACAGTTTTCACAGCAAAAAAACATCCTTTCGGCTGGAGCCTTTGTTCTCAAAGGCCCCCAAGCATTCTGGGTTCCAGGTCTTCCAAAATCTGGGAGCACACCCTGCAGAAAGCTCAAAACTTCTTTGAAGTCTCGTATTTAATATGAAAAATTAATGCAAATATTGCATTCTAATGGGTAACTTATCAGTGTTTGTCTTATTATAAAAATGTATTATACTACCCACCAGTTATTTAACATTTTTCCCCAAAGCTATTATGTTAGTTTTCCATATCAAGAAGGAATCCCCTGCCCACTGGCTCATATCTGTTCTAAGTACAGCCTGTTTGTTTCTGTTTTGTTTTTCCGTGATTAAACTAGATCTCCCAAGCCCCTCATTTCCAGAGCAGAAGACTAAGGCTCTAACGAGGTAATTAACAGTAATGTCTGTGTCACCATACATATTACTGTTATGGACTTTACCGTTGAGAGCACATCTGCATTTCTCCATAAAAAAAATAACTGCACATTCTACAGGGCTACACAGTTCACCATCAGGAAGTCCCTCGCATGGCATAAAGCTCTGTATGGCTACAAAGTTAAGCAGTGCGCATTAAGCTTTATAACTAGGAAGATGACATTTAGTTTAAAACTGATATTTTTTTTTCACGTGACAAACTTTACCTGATTGCTTTGAATTAAGTTCAGTATTTTAAAAACCTACTTTCTGGGCCTGATTCTTAATATCTGATAAATCAAAGAAATTAGACCAAGCAGAAACTAAGTCAACTTGACAGCTTTCTGTGATATTCTTACAGTTTAAGATATTTATTTATACAAATTCATATTTTGTGTTAAAAAGATTTAAACATATTAAACATTTTGTGTGATTCTTTGTGAAAATCTAATTCTTTCTGCCTAGAGACATTAAAAATAACCACCTACTTAGACTATAACCATTCTTAAGATCTGACTTTTCTTGACCAAAAAGAATTTATATATCACCAAATCACAGACTGCCATGCACACTTCCATGCCAGGCATAATTACAAGCATTCTAATTACATCATTTCAACAAGAAGTTCACTCAACTTACAAAGTAATAGAAGATTCATCATGTAACAATCATCCTGCTTCCCACTAACAGAGCCTTATATATAAAGACTAATTTTAGTAACAGTGGCAAATTGATTTAAAGTTCAATCTTCCTACTTTAAATTCCTGTCTTTCTCTCCTACATAATAGAAATTTTGCAGGCATTGTCACTATTGTGTCACGAGGCTTGTGATATGCAGCCCGTTTACAGCTATTCTCAAGAACCAACTATCGCCGTTAACACCTAGGGAGGGGAGCCCTGCTTCTGAAACTAGGGTAAAAGGGGTAATGGATCCCGGCAGGATGGACACAGGACAGTCCTGGAGATTCAGAGGGAATAAAATATACCTTAAGTAGTTGAGCTGGTAAGTAGTGGTCGTGTAGTGTTAGTCACTGCTTAGTAACAGAATCCTTTTCTATGCTTAAACACAGACATCTGGCTTATTACAAGGCATAATACGGCAGACTTTCTATATCCGTAAATCGAGATCTACAAGCAAAAAGAGAGTCTCCAAGAATGCAAACGGTCCTTAGCACTATTCCTCCACCCTGCAATCTAACTGGGAAGACCGGTGCAGAGCTAGAACAGCTCACGATGAAAGAAAGGGATGTAATAAGACATGAAGACAGCACCAGGGATGCTTCCTCCGACACCTGGGCCACTCACTCTGTGAAGCGAGCCACTGTCCTTGGAGTTAAGTTGAAGTTCCTTCTGGAAAGCAGTTGCCACCTCCTGCGCCCTGCCCCTTCCCCACCTCACTCCTCCAATCTCCTTCTGTGACTGCAGAAGAGGACCACCCTTCAGGCCCAGGGTACCCCGAGAGAACTGGAGCGAAGACAAGCCCCCTGTCACCAGAACACCACCACCACATACATACACACACACACACACACACCCCCTCCTCCGCGAAGACAAGCCCTCTGTCACCAGAACAACAACACACACACACACCCTCCTCCGCTTGGACAGACAGACTGCAGAAAAGAATCCGGGAGCAAGCACGTAGGGTTGTCTGTCTATTAACAAAAGGCATCCCCCCAGGGTCTGCTTAGAAACGCAAATCTTGCCGTGATGGAGGAGGTGCAGCTCCCAGACCAACCTGCCTAACAGCGTTACCTGATTAGAGGCTGAGTCCTCCGTTCGTGAACTGGGGACAGGAGAGAAAATTGATTATGTTTTGATAAGTATTATCGACTTTTCTATAGTCATAAAAAAGACAAAAGGTGACTCCCGGCCCCAGAATTAGGAAACAACTTCGGGAACACGCTTTGGAGGGGGGCCGTGCCGGAGACCCGGCGCGGGAGCGCGGAGATTCGCACCTGCCCCCGCAGGTGGGCGCGTCCACGCGGCGGCTCTCTGCGAGGGCTGCTCTGGGTCTAGGGGCTCGCACGCCCCCGTACCCCCAGGGCCCACTAACTGAATGAACCGAGGAGACAGAATATTCCACGGAAGCTCCTCGACTTGTACCGTGACTTGGGGTAACCCCACGCTTCCAAGTTTTAGACACTTCCTCTCTTCGTCCTTCCAGACCTTTCCCGCGAACAGGTCGGAATCAATGAAAATAAAGAGAAACGGAGGCGGGGAAGTGAGGGGCTACTCCCGTCGGGGCTCCCGGGCGCCCTCCCCCACCCCACCCCCGGAGAGTCACCTGAACCCTGCGCGCCCCGCGGCAGCCCCGGGACTCCGGAAAGCTGAGCCAAAGCAGCCATGCGGCTGGGGCCGCGCCAAGAGGTACTGCCATTGCAGCTGCAGGAGCCGGCCGCGTCCGGTCGCCATGGATACCCAGCGCCGACGCTCCTCCTCTGGGCCCCCTCGTCACTGGCGCGTGCACAGAGGCGCTGTTGGGGGCGGGGCCGAGGACAACTCCGCCTGCCAGCCGGCTCCGCCGGCACGGCGTCAGCGCCGACGCCGACGCCGACGCCAAGGACGCCTGGCGGCGGCGAGACGGTAACCCACGCTCTTTGGCCCGCGCGAGCTCTGAAGCGGCTTCGCCCTCTCCACCTGCTAGCTGTGAGGTAGTCTTCGCTGCTTCCTGCCCGACTTGTTTAAGAACACTAAACGAAAAGGCTACATCGCCTGCCCAGAGGCAACAGCAGGGCCACAGTCAGACCGAGAATTCCCCAGTTGGCACGGTCCCTTCTAGAGAGACACCGGGACGGGCGGTTTGTAATCGCGAACTTGATTTTTGCAAGTTCCTGAAGTTCGCAGTGCCAGGGACTCCCATCCCGCCCGCCACCAACAAAGCCCCGCCTTCCTGTCAGGCCGAGCAGGGCGGCGCCCGCGCAGCGGCGTGTGGGAAGCCCCGAGGCGTCGGCGCGCGCCCCGGCCGCCTTGCACTGTGGGAGATGTAGTCCTTGAGCGTCCCGCACCGCGGCAGTTCCGGCAGGAGTGCCGCCCTCGAACTACCACTCCCAGGAGTCCTAGCGCCTTCCAGGTCCCTTTGCAAGGGGCCTGGCGAGGATCGGGTGAATGTCAGCGAAGAAAGGAATCCAAGTGCTTTCAGTCCAGTGAAAGGAGAGCCGAAGGGAAGGGAAAGTGGGCGTCAGCTCCTTTCCGGAGACGTTCTGTCTTGATTGACGCAGCTGGAGCTAACGTTTTTGCCGAACACGCCCGTGCAGCGTCACCGGTGTGGACGCGACGCTCAATCCCGCGCCCGGCCGGGTGTGTGGCCGGTCGAGAAGGTCTGCTCTTCGTAGCTGGCGTCTTCCCTGAGCGGGGCGGCCTTCCAGGAACATGATCTGCACTCTCCTGCGAGCTGTGCGGTGCACGGAGAGGCTGCACGGGCGCCCCGGGAAGCCATGGTTTCTGCCACACTCCGTGCCTCACAGAGCTTGCTCTCAAACGGAGCCCAGGTGGAGATGGGGGCTGCAAGAGCAGAAGGCGACGGCGCGACCTAGGTGTATTTGGGGAGTCACCCAGAGGTCTATCTGGACGCAAGGACGGAGCCCCCAGAGCGCGAAGGAGGACGGTAGCAAGCAAGTGTCTGTGCACAGGAATCAGAGCGGGGAAACCGTCCTCTCGACGTCACAAAAAGGTAAAGGGGATTCCGTGTAGCGATCAGTCTCTCAGCAAATGTGACGGGAGCTGCCAACGCCCTTTATATGAGTTCAGAGCCGAGAATAAACGGTTCACACAAATTAAAAGGTAGAACCGTTCAACACAGTTCAGAAGCAGAGAAGATAGGCCTGCAATTTTCTTCCCAGATTTGAAAACTCACCTTTGAAGGCTGATTTTGATACAACTTTGCTGAATAATGTCTGTAAGATTTTTCTCAACTTTTATTTTTTGGTGTGGAGAGAGCTTATAAAACGTAACCATTGTTTAATGTTTTATAACAGACAAGTAGATTTCCCAGGTGTTACTTCATCTCATTTGAATCTCACCGTTTATTTTTTCAGACAGGACTCAGTAGTATGTATAAGGCTTATTTCCCCAGTTTCACACAACTAAAAATTGAATGTGAGTATTTCTAATTTCAGTTTCCTAATAGCCACGCCATTACCTCAGGACAACCACACCTGTCTTTAGTCTCTAAGAATAGCGCTCTCTCTCACATTTGGCGCTTAGGTGCAGTGCTGTTTTTTATTTACTATTTTGATCAGTGGGAGACAGTTTTAGAGGCTTCCATTGGACTTTACTCATTACGGTATGGTGGGCAGTGCACCTCGAAGGACCTAGTTTAGGGACTGTTGTTGCTGATGACTGAGTATAGCCGTTCCAGTTATACTTTGAAAATCAGGGAAATGATCATTGGTAAGTCCACCCAGCTGTGACCCTCTTACATGCCAGGCTCTTATATTACATAGCCACCACAGGTACTTAACAGAGGGACCACAGAGACTCTTTAGTTGTTGATGTCAGCTCAGACTCTGTCCAGTGGACCTTGAAGTGTCCCCTTTTCCAGCATAGGGTCACCAAGTTAATGGCCAAGGGGCCCTGGTGAAGGACCAGGGGAATCTATACTTGCTCAAGTGCCTCCTGATGGAGTTGGCCTTCCTTCGGTAAATGAATGCAAGGAGTGAAGAGCAGTTCAGGTCCAGAAACCAAGCTGTTCATTGCTGTGACTGTTCCCACCTGGCTTCAGTGCTGGGCCATCCCCAGGGCCGTCAGAGCACCGCCTTCTATAACCTTGTGAGCAGTGTTTTCCAGGCCCTCCCTCAGGACAGCCGGCCTTGGTGTATGACACCTCCTCCACCACACCCACAGCTCACTGTGGCAGTGCTGTCATTTTTACTTCACTTAATGTGGACCATGCCCACCCCATCTTTCCAAGCATGAGCCGAGCTGTGCACCAGCTCCCAGGCTACTTGTCAGACTTCACTGTTTGATCGGAGAGTGCTGATAGGTCAGCTCCCACTCGTCCCGGTCTATATTTTGCACCCCTTCCCATCTCCCTTGGGATATAGCTGGCTCTGCTAATGGGGCCTCCGGCCACTTCAGGGGTGGGGTGGCCCGTTTCCTCCTTCCTTCCAGTTGCATTGTACCCTGGCCAGAGCATGTGTCTTGCAAGGTGGAAGCCCCCACCAGGTCTTCGAGCAGGAGGAAGAGCTAGCCTTTAACTGGGAGGCATGAGCTACCACTTCATGTGGGAGGGTTCAAAGGAACTGGAGCAAAGGATTTCCTCATCTTAGACACTAAGGAGGCATTAAGATCAAGTACCTAAAGTACCGACTCCTCAGCCCTGCTCCCAGAGTCGGCTGTTGTTCTTTCCAAATAACTCTTCAGGTGATTCTGATGTGCAGATTTGACAGCAGCTGCTCCAGAACACGTGCTGACCCCTCCCGTGTCCCAAAAGCACATCTCACCTGCTGGAGATCCTGAAGCCAAGAGCATCTGGCTCCTGTCCATCACACGTGTAACCAGGGGTGTTTTCTCTTTACAGTGAAAGAAGCCGGAAGAGATTTTACCTACTTAATAGTGGTGCTTATTGGAATCACCATTACAGGTTGAAATCACAGCAAGTATAAACCCCCTGAATGTCTTTTTCACTCTCCATTTGTCTTGTTCTTGTTTTGCTAGCTCTCTTTTTTCTGTGATTTTCAGGTGGCTTGTTTTACACGATCTTCAGAGAACTTTTTTCTTCATCTAGTCCGAATAAGATATATGGGAAAGCCCTAGAAAAGTGCAGATCGCATCCCGAGGTTAGTCTTCAAGACTGAGTTACACAGACTCCGACAATAGGGAGGAAAAAACGTTGGGGTAACTGGGGGAGTGGTGGGCAGAAGTCACATAGTGGTTCCGAGACTGAAATTTATGTAATAATAAATTGGAGTGGTTGGGTTGTGATTATGTCATTAGCTCTTTGTTTGCTACTTGAAATGCTTTGATTTATGGGCAGCACCCAGAGGTCCATACAGGGACATTTCAATTCTAATTGTAAAAGCTTAGACTATACCAGCATATTAAACTCATGCAGTAAGTGTCCAGTCTTTTTAAAAACCTGATTCATGATCTCATGATCATAGTAGGAATTGTTGGAGCTTACTGAGAGCATAGTGTGCACCACACACTCTGCCCAGGGTCTGAGCACTCTGTGCTCAGTCTCAGGAGAACCACTCTTGCCGGGTGTGGTCTCTATCCTGCATGCAGAAGAACACTGACATCTAAAGAGAGTCAACAACTAAGCTAAGAGGACCAAGCCAGTAAGAGGGAGAAAATGAACGTGTCAGTCTCGCAGTCATGTCTGACTCCTTGCGACTCCATGGACTGTACCCCACCAGGCTCCTCTGTCCATGGGATTCTCCAGGCAAGAATCCTAGAGTGGGTTGCCATGCCCTTCTCCAAGGGATCTTCCCGACTCAGGGATCAAGCCCCAGGTCTCCCGCATTTGTAGGCAGATTCTTTACCTTCTGAGCCACAAGGGAAGCCTGGTAAGAGGGAGAGCCAGAACCTAGTCCAAGTTTGTCTGATTCCAGATCTTAGGTCTTAAGCATAGCCTGCCTGAACCACACTCCAGGAGTAGACAGACGCAGAAAAGCCACGTTGATTATTTTTTTAAAGGATCCCATCGAGAAGGAAGTTTTCCATAGGGCTTTCCAGTCACAGAGAGAAAGGCAGTGTAGCCTGTGAAGGCCCAGATTTCTTACTCCCTGGGTGGAAAGCTTTGAAAACTCAAATTCATTGAAAGCTTGATTCTTGTACTTGGAAAGAATATGGCATATAGCATCATAAATCACAGGGCTGTTTCTCGTATAGACCAAGGAGTAATGTCAAAGAGACGGTCCCTGGGGAGAGCAGGAAGGTCAGCCTAGGTCCTGTCAGCATCCATGCCCAGCCCTGGGTTTCCCTGGGCACCGCCTCCGTATGCTCCATCAGTGTCTAGGCCCGTCGGCACAGAAGCCTCAGGAGCTAACGGTTTCTGACGTCTTTCCTTCTTACTGAACTTGGGCGATCTGAGAGCCGTGGGGGAGATGCCGCTCTGAGTGAAACTCAGCAGGGAATAAGGAAGTTCCCACTGTAGTTCCTGGGAAACCTAATTGTACCTGACAAGATACGCTTTACACGCTACCGTGATAAATATGATCAATCGCATAGTTAAATGTTGGAAGAGATGAAGAGTTGCTGTGTTGTTCACAAACTAGCCATTCAGTGATCTTCAGCGTTTGGAACAAAACAGAACTTCCCTGAATAAACGTGGAGTGGGATGTTTTCAAGCTCATAACTTAATTTGCTGCCTGAAAGAGCTCTACAAAGAATAATTAAATTTTAACAATTTGATTTTGTCAGCATTTATTAGGGTCTGTTCTTTGCCAGGCACTGTGACTGATTGAAAAACAGAAAATTCTAGTGTTCTGATACCGACATGTTTATTATAGTGAGTTATTTGAAGAATTGTCCCATTTGTTTCAACTACATAGTTCTTTAATATGTCTCATCTTACCTATTTCTTCTTTTTATTTATGTCTGAAAATTTTGATACTGAATATACTCAACAAACTAAATATTTACAGAGTTGAAGCAATATTTGTTTTACTTTCATATCAAATTTGTATTTTATGAAAATGTTCCAAAATATTTGCATTTTTAGTTCAGTAAAAATTTCATTTCCACTTCGTTGTATATTTTCCTATTAAGAATAATGGTTTCCTACCCCTCGATCTGGTTTGCTTTAAATAGTCACTTGTTTTTATATGTGTGTTTAGTGACTAAAGTATCATTTTGCTCTCATAACTTTTAGTATCAGACACCATTGGGTAAATGTTGCTAAAAATGTTCAATGGACATTAACTAGAGTGAACTCTGGGAGATAATGAAGGGCAGGGGAACCTGACGTGCTGCAGTTCGTGGGGTCACTTGGTTTGTCAGGAAATATTTTTCCAGGAAACTTTAAAAAACCATAGCCCTGACTGAGCAGGCCTGGTCTGTGTCCTCCAGGTCATCAGTGTCTTCGGCGAGCCCGTCAAAGGCTACGGGGAGGTGACACGACGAGGCCGAAGGCAGCACGTTAGGTATCGGGGCCAGCCGGGATCCGGGGCTGCTGCGGGAGGCTTGAGTGAGAGGAAGTCAGGCTTGCATTCTTTCATTTTCTTGACAGCTTTATTGAATACGTAAAAGATGGGCTGAAACACATGCGAGTGAAGTTCTACATCCAGGGCTCAGAGCCTGGGAAGCAGGGAACCGTGCATCTTGAAGTGAAGGAGGTGAGCCGTGGGGGGCAGGCATCCTGAACCGGGACTCATGGGAAGTGCCAAGGGGAGGGCAAGGCCTTGATGCTCTTTCGTTTATGTTTTTGTTTTTTCCCAGAACCCAGAAAGTGGTGAATATGAATTTCGATATATATTTGTAGAACTTGAACCCTATTCTAGAACTATTGTCATTGAAGATAATCGATCCTGAGACAATCAGAAGAACAAGCAAGCTTGTGTTTCCTGATGGGTGTGGCAGGCTCTGATCTTCAGCCTTGGCCAGCCTCTGTTTTGAATAAAACAGGAGGGAGTAAAGCTCATAAAAGTGAAGGCCACTGGGTAGTTGTTACATTTAGACAAACTGAATTAGAGATTTTCTCCTAGAGTGAAAAATCATGAAATAGAGCATACTTTATGTTAAATCTTTGCATTAATGGTCACAGGCAGAGTTTCTGCTCTACTTAACATCTTTTATGATAAATTTTTGTTATTAAAAGTTTTACACCATGTAAATAAAATAGAGTTCAATATTCAGTGCTTTTTTTATGTTGTATAAAATCTGTGAAATAAAATTGAAACTAATAAAAGGATGTTCAATTGAGAAAGGAGTATGTCAAGGCTGTATATTGTCACCCTGCTTATTTAACTTATATGCAAAGTATATCATATGACATGCTGGGCTGGATAAAGCACAAGCTGGAATCAAGATTGCTGGGAGAAATATCAATAACCTCAGATATGCAGATGACACCACCCTTAAGGCAGAACGCAAAGAGAAACTAAAAATCCTGTTGATGAAAGGAAAATGAAAAAGCAGGCTTAAAATTCAACATTTAAAAAATTAAGATCATGGCATCCGATCCCATCACTTCATGGCAAATAGATGGGGAAACAATGGAAACAGTGAGAAACTATTTTCTTGGACTCCAAAATCACTGCAAATGGTAACTGTAGCCATGAAATTAAAAGATGCTTATTCCTTGAAAGAAAAGCTATGAAAAACTTAGACAGCATATTAAAAAGCAGAGACATTACCCACAAAGGTCCATCTAGTGAAAGCTATGATTTTCCCAGTAGTCATGTATGGATGTGAGAGTCGGACCACAAAGTGAGCGCTGAAGAATTGATGCTTTTGAACTGTGGTGTTGGAGAAGACTCAAGAGTCCCTTGGACTGCAAGGAAATCCAACCAGTCAATCCTAAAGGAAATCAGTGCTGAATAATCATTGGAAGGACTGATGCTGAAGCTGAAGCTCCAATACTTTGGCCACCTGATGAGAAGAACTGACTTATTGGAAAAGACATGATGCTGGGAAAGATTGAAGGTGGGAGGAGAAGGGGATGACATAGGATGAGATGGTTGGATGGTATCACTGGCTCAATGGACATGAGTTTGAGCAAGCTCTGAGAGTTGGTGACAGACAGGGAAGCCTGGCATGCTGCAGTCCATGGGGTTGCAAAGAGTTAGACATGACTGAGTGACTGAACTGATTAAAAAGATGCCCAAAGCAGCAGCTTTCCATCTATTTTGGAATCAGACTCAAGATGAACACTTGAAAATATTTGAGATTTAGCCATTTTAAGATGTTTTATCTGTGTTTTGCTACCAAACATTCTCAGTACTTGGAATTTTCTTAATCAGGCCTCTCATATTTCTTTCCTGGCAAAGCAGTCATGGAAGCTGCCACTTAGTTGGGTAGGATTTGTCCTCCCCTCAGTGGCATTTTCAAAAGTCTTCTATGAGAATTGGGATCACAAGGCATTGTTTTTGCCCTGAAGTTATTGACCATGAATTTACAGCACACCAAGAGGTAGATGTCAGTCTTCTGCAGCCCCGGCCACACACCTGCGCAGCCAAAAGTACCTTCTGCCAGATGTGGTCTCATCAAGTCCTCACAGCCTCATGGGGCCAGCTAGATGGGGGACGTGGGGCTCTACTGTTTTTTACTGTTACTGGGAGCCAGAAACAGGCATTCTCATTCATGCATTCAACCTTACAGTGCCTTTTAAGGTATCATTTTCATTTTTGTACCTTCAGTTCTTAGCATATCTGGAAGATAGTAGGTTTTCAAAAGTTGTATTGAATCCAAGCCTTAGAAGCATCTAGACATAATTCTAAAACACAGACAACATAGTTCTCAGAAGCTGAACATAGTTCTCAGAAGCTGACTTTAAAAGCTGCTGAAGTCTTAGCATGCCAGCTCTAAGAAATAGAAGACTAAAAATCATAGACACAGTATTGGCACAGCTAAAAGCATTCATGGATCAGTAAAACAAAATCACACCCAAAATAATGTGCATCTAATGCCTCTGGAAGGTTGAAATTTCTCTAGGAAAAGGCTTGGAAAAAAGAAAACATGAATATTGCTCTTCAGAATACACACACACACACACACACACACACACACACACATCAGCAAAAGATGGTTTTGCAGCAAAAGAACAACCAGCTTGTAAAAAGACTTCATATGTAACAAACAAAACCCAGGTCTCCCACATTGCAGGTAAATTCTTTGCCAGCTGAGCCACAAAGGAAGCCCAAGAATACTGCACTGGGTATCCTACCCCTTCTCCAGTGGATCTTCCCAACCCAGGAATCGAACCAGGATCTCCTGCATTGAGGTGAATTCTCTACCGGGTTATCAGGGAAGTCCTATGTAACAAAATGCAAAGAAAAAAAATTAATATTTTGATCATACAGATAGTGGAAGCACAGTAAATGCTTTGATACATGTCTATTGATTTGACCCTAGAGAGTTTTGTGCACTTTTGGAAAAAAAAGAATTTTTTCATGGTAAAATATTTCTTTGCAGTGAAAATGGTGTCACTATTTTGGTGGCTCAGACAGTAAAGAATCCACCTGCAGTGCATGAGACCTGGGTTCAATCCCTGGGTGGGAAAGATCGCCTGGAGGAGAGCATGGCTATACACTTCAGTATTATTGCCTGGAGAATCCCCATGAACAGAGGAGCCTGGTGGGCTACAGTCCATAGGGCGGCAGAGTCCGACACGACTGAGTAACTAACACATTTACTCAAAAACTCCAACATAAACAGCTCAGAATAACCGTTCACATTAACCAGATACGCTGGGTATGTCTTTTCACCATCAGGCATCTGATGCTGGGGCAGGCAGTAATGTACACAGAGCTTCTAAGAAAGGTACCCCCCACTTCCCCTGACACCCCAAGGACCTGCTGAGGCATCTGCTTCTCTTCCACTAAACCCCATTTCCAGACTCCCCACCCAACCTAGGAAATGATTAGTCAGTGCTTCTGTTTACAGTCATCATTACTAAGATCTCTGGTAAGTTGTAAAATGCCTCTCCTTCCTCTCATTTCCCATTTTCATGGAATTTATGGGGAACTTTTGTTAAAAACAGTTAACAGCAAAGACCTCATTAAATGTTTTGCATGTATCCATTCCATGGATTGAAGATCTAAGGAATTTTAAAAATAAACTAAAAGGAAGCATGCCAAAGTGAAAAATTAGTTGAAATGGTCAAATTCATAGAGTTTTGCCAAGAGAATGCACTGGTCATAGCAAACACCCTCTTCCAACAACACAAGAGAAGACTCTACACATGGACATCACCAGATGGTCAACACCAAAATCAGATTGATTATATTCTGTGCAGCCAAAGATGGAGAAGCTCTATACAGTCAGCAAAAACAAGACCAGGAGCTGACTGTGGCTCAGATCATGAACTCCTTATTGCCAAATTTAGACTTAAACTGAAGAAAGTAGGGAAAACCACTAGACCATTCAGGTATGACCTAAATCAAATCCCTTATGACTATACAGTGGAAGTAGGAAATAGATTTAAGGGACTAGATCTGATAGACAGAGAGCCTGATGAACTATGGACTGAGGTTTGTGACACTGTACAGGAGACAGGGATCAAGACACTGTACAGGAGACAATAGATTTAAGGGACTAGATCTGATAGACAGAGAGCCTGATGAACTATGGACTGAGGTTTGTGACACTGTACAGGAGACAGGGATCAAGACCATCCCCAAAGAAAAGAAATGCAAAAAGGCAAAATGGTTTTCTGAGGAGGCCTTACAAATAGCTGTGAAAAGAAGAGAAGCGAAAAGCAAAGGAGAAAAGGAAAGATATACCCATTTGAATGCAGAGTTCCAAAGAATAGCGAGGAGAGAGAAGAAAGCCTTCCTCAGCAATCAATGCAAAGAAATAGAGGAAGACAACAGAATGGGAAAGACTAGAGATCTCTTCAAGAAAATTAGAGATATCAAGGGAACATTTCAGGCAAAGATGGGTTTGATAAAGGACCAAAATGGTATGGACCTAACAGAAGCAGAAGATATTAAGAAGAGGTGGCCAGAATATACAGAAGAACTGTACAAAAAAGATCTTCATGACCCAGATAATCACAATGGTGTGATCACTGACCTAGAGCCAGACATCCTGGAATGTGAAGTCAAGTGGGCCTTAGAAAGCATCACTACGAACAAAGCTAGTGGATGTGATGGAATTCCAGTTGAGCTATTTCAAATCCTGAAAGATGATGCTGTTAAAGTGCTGCACTCAATATGCCAGCAAATTTGGAAAACTCAGGAGTAGCCAAAGGACTGGAAAAGGTCAGTTTTCATTCCAATCCCAAAGAAAGGCAATGCCAAAGAATGCTCAAACTACTGCACAATTGCACTCATCTCACACGCTAGTAAAGTAATGCTCAAAATTCTTCAAGCCAGTCTTCAGCAATACGTGAACCGAGAACTTCCAGATGTTCAAGATGGTTTTAGAAAAGGTTGAGGAACCAGAAATCAAATTGCCAATATCCGCTGGATCATTGAAAAAGCAAGAGAGCTCCAGAAAAACATCTATTTCTGCTTTATTGACTATGTGAAAGCCTTCGACTGTGTGGATCACAATAAACTGTGGAAAATTCTGAAAGAGATGGGAATACTAGACCACCTGACCTGCCTCTTGAGAAACCTGTATGCAGGTCAGGAAGCAACAGTTAGAACTGAACATGGAACAACAGACTGGTTCCAAATAGGAAAAGGAGTATGTCAAGGCTGTATATTGTCACCGTGCTTATTTAACTTATATGCAGAGTACATCATGAGAAATGCTGGGCTGGAAGAAGCACAAGCTGGAATCAAGATTGCCAGGAGAAATATTAATAACCTCAGATATGCAAATGACACCACCCTTATGGCAGAGAGTGAACAGGAACTAAAAAGCCTCTTGATGAAAGTGAAAGAGGAGAGTGAAAAAGTTGGCTTAAAGCTTAACATTCAGAAAACTAAGATCATGGCATCTGGTCCCATCACCTCATGGGAAATGGATGGGGAGACAGTGGAAGCAGTGTCAGACTTCATTTTTGGGGGCTCCAAGATCACTGTGGATGGTGACTGCAGCCATGAAATTAAAAGACACTTACTCCTTGGAAGGAAAGCTATGACCAACCTAGGTAGCATTTTAAAAAGCAGAGACATTACTTTGCCAACAAAGGTCCATCTAGTCAAGGCTGTGGTTTTTCCAGTGGTCATGTATGGATGTGAGAGTTGGACTTAAAGAAAGCTGAGTGCTGAAAAATTGATGCTTTTGAACCGTGATGTTGGAGAAGACTCTTGAGAGTCCCTTGGACTGCAAGGAGATCCAACCAGTCCATTCTAAAGGAGATCAGTCCTGGCTGTTCATTGGAAGGACTGAAGCTGAAACTCCAGTACTTTGGCCAACTCATGCGAAGAGTTGACTCATTGGAAAAGACCCTGATGCTGGGAGGGATTGGGGGCAGGAGGAGAAGGGGACGACAGAGGATGAGACGGCTGGATGGCATCACCGACTCGATGGGCATGAGTTTGAGTAAACTCCAGGAGTTGATGATGGACAGGGAGTCCTGGCATGCTGTGATTCATGGGGTCGCAAAGAGTCAGACAAGACTGAGCAACTGAGCTGAACTAAACTGAACTGAGAGATCCTGGCTTTATTTCTGGCAACTAGAATCCATCAGGGCATGTATTGCACACATTATATTTGGTACATGTGGCAACATCATGGGCTTTCCCAGTGGCTCGGTGGTAAAGAATCCGCCTGCAATGCAGGAGAGGTGGTTTCCATCCTGGGTCGGGAAGATCCCCTGGAGAAGGAAACGGCAACGCATTCCAATATTCTTGCCTGGAGAATTCCGTGATCAAGTCATGTATCAAGTCACGGGGAGAAGACAGAAAAGCAGTGAAGGAAGAGAAGAAGCAAGTGACTTGGCAGTAATGACACTCCAGTCCAGGGGAGCCTCAATGATGAGAACTCCTTACTCACATTCACCCACTGTTCCTGCCACGTGCGAACATAGACGTGGGGACGTTCATCTACTTCAGCAAAGTTGTCAGCATTGTCACAGAGAGGAGGAAACACTACAAAACAAATGTGTGCTCTGTGGTGCCTGCAGCTTCCTGCTTACAGAGGAGACTGAAGGCCTGTGTGTTGATTTCTCAAGGAACCAAAGAGGCACAGACAATCGAGACCAGCTGTTCAGTTTTTCCAGGAAGCCGCTGTGTGTGATGGGCTGCCCGTGGAAGCTCCCAGTTTTGCTTAGGAGCAATTCAGGTAAAAACCATCAAGCTATTAAGCTAAATGTCATGGTCATTAATATCTACTTGCATCTAATCTATGAGCTTCCCTGGTGGTTCAGATGGTAAAGCGTCTGCCTGCAATGTGGGAGACCCAGGTTCGATCCCTGGGTTGGGAAGATCTCCTGGAGAAGGAAGTGGCAACCCACTCCAGTATTCTTGCCTGGAGAATCCCAAGGACGGAGAAGCCTGGTAGGCTACAGTCCATGGGGTCACAAAGAGTCGGACACAACTGAGCGAGTTCACTTCATCTAACCTATAGTTATGTAAAGTGGACATAATACATCAAAATATTTTGTTTTTCAAGTAGTTTCAAATAATTGGATTGTAACAGGTTTATTCTTTTTCATGTCAGAGTTATAAAAATGTTGATTTCTGTCTTTTATCAAGCATGACAGCATCATTGTTAGTATTATTGTTAATACTGGTTTATTTTAGTTGGCTCAGATGGTAAAGAATCTGATTGCAATGCAGGAGACCCAGGTTCCATCCCTGGATTGGGAAGATCCCCTGTAGAAGGAAATAGCAACCCACTCCAGTATTCTTGCCTGGAGAATCCCATGGACAGAGGAGCCTGGCGGACTCTGGTCCATGGGATCACAAAGAGTCAGACACCACTGAGCAATTAACACACACACACAGACACACACAGATGGATCTCTGGGTCTCTGGATCAGAAGATAAGTCTTATCAGTTGAGTACCCATCTAGGGGGCATCATTTAATCCATCAGAGGGCCCAAGAATCTGTCATTCTTAATGGATTCATAGTCAAGTAACACGGATAAACCTTGAACAGTGGGCCAGGGGAAAGCCCACGTTGGTTCTCACTGCTTAGCAAGCTTGTCACTGAGTTTCCTGTGTGAGCTGGTGTCTCTCTAACCAGACCATCTTCTTCCTCGGGACAGAGCCTTAGCAGGGCCCAGTACACACCGCGGGCGCCGGCGGCCCCGAGAAATGCTGCCTCGGGGTGCACTCACACAGCCATTTCTCCAGAACTCTCATATCTCGTCCTGGCCCCTCCCAAGCCACGCATCCCAGGGCTCCGCTCCCACCTACTAACACGACACCTGTGGTCATTTAACAGACACCAGCTCACAGACGGCGGCTCAGTGTGGGAAGGACGATTAACCTGCAGCAGAGGTCAATTATCTGACTGTTCCTGGTGAGAGCAAAGAAGGTCGCCTGGAATGAAACTTCTGTCGGGCTCCCCGCATGCCCGGAGGGAAACAGCAAACAGAGCCTTGTCTTCCAGCCTCCAGCCGAGCCTTCCCTGCGCCCCACGTGCTGGAGGAGACCTTCAGAGCCAAGTGTCAATGAGGACCGGGGAGCAGGCTGTAACTGACAAGCTGCCCCCCAAACCCTGACTTCGGTAGAGCTAACTCTTTTTCCCTGAAAACCCTAAAACCACAGATGATATTCTTCAATGATTTCAGTGCCCTATAACCCAGCTGATCAGACATTAGAGACCATGTTTAGGATAAGCGAAGGGATTTAACAGTAGATTACGGCCACAGTCACCCAGTTGTCAGGTTAAACTGCAGTGAATTGCTTGAGTTCAATAGTTCAGGTCTTTGTCCACCTTAATGCCTTTTACAGAAGTTACCATGAAGTCCTCGTGACTGGATTGCCAGAGGGACACCCTGCAGTAATTTTTCGACTTACCTGCAAGGGACTTTAGAAATACCCTTTGGCACTTTATGGAAATTGTGACTTTATGAAGCAGTATTCAAAGAAATGAACAATTTATGTTAAAAGTTGTGTATAATTGTTAAAATCTATGAAAGAATAAAAAATGGATTTAAATTAAAAAAAAAAAAAGACAAAGAAATGAACAATACGTGACAATTTGTAGAACAGGCTTCAGATCTGAGTACATTTGCAGAACAAGAAGGAATATAGGACTGTTTAATGTAATTAAAAGGTTTACGTTAGTTAGATTCCCTATCTTGGTCAGAATAATTTACAGAGGGAAAAAGAAATAAACCCTTAGCTCTGAAGCATTTTTAATATGCCGCTCAAATACCTTGTTCGAAATTACATTGAGCAGAACTATTTGGAGAAGTGTTTTGAGTTGGGTCTGTTTTAAAACCTTGTCATTTGAGTTCAACTACATTTTCAACTTAGGTCCGGATTCATCCCTGAAAAGAAGTGGTTTCTTTGTGCTATGAAATCTTCCCTCACCCACTACACTCTGCACAGAAGATTCTTTTACCATTATAAATCTCTTCTCCCACTGGCCTTGTTCATTATTAGGATCTTACTTGTAGGATTCTGGTTTGGTCCTGGCCTCGGGTTGTCTTCACAGCTGAGAGGGTATCAATAGCCACTTGAGGAGTCAGGGAGGTGGGTCCCCAATCTCACGCTCCCACTCAACCGCTGGGCCGGGAGCACTGAGCCGTCCGGCTGGCAGGAGAAGGAAAGATGCTCCTCCAGGCAGCTTTTGGCTGCAAAAACATTGTAGAAATCAACTATCAGACAAGCCACATTTCCACTCCTTAGGGAGAAGAGTCTGGGAAATCTTGACAGTGCTGTGAAAATCAAGATAGTGTTAAACTATAAGTGGGAAATCTGCAAATGTCTTACGGTCAAGTATCTAAGGGCACAGCTGTTGAGCTACAGAGACCCATAACTGGAATTCCTGTTCTGCCCCTGACATGGCTGAGTCACATGGACAATCTCACTGAGTGTCGATGCATCTGCTGGCGACATGGAGACCAAGGGGTGTGAGGGTCAGAGGTGAACACGCACGTCCAGCTGAGTATGAGGCTGGAAACTAGGGGGCTTGTAAGCAAGGTCTGCCGTCACCACTCTGTCTACTTGCCTTTGTTCAAAAACAGCGATCCACAGAAGTTCTGAAATTAATGCTACATTTTTCTATACAGTGGAAATGTGTGACCACAAGAATTCAGTTTTATTTTCCAGGAACAGTCTAACATATGTAACCAAAGTACGCAGGGTCAAAATGCAAAAGATTGGGACTTCCCTGGTGGTCCAATGGTTAAGGCTTTCCCCTTCCAAGGCAGACGGCACCGGGTCAGTCCCTGGTGAGGGACTAAGATCCCGCATGAGACATGGCCAAAAAGAAAACAGAAAATGTATCTATAAACCAGAGCTAATGGCCATAAATTACCTAGAAAGGGAAGAATGTCAAGTTAATAAAACTAATATTTTTTAAAAATGCAAAGGAACAACACAGAAATGAGAAACTGGGAAAAATCAACACATGGTGTATTTTTAAACAAAAGTATTTAAACAAAACTGCTGCAATAGCATATTTTTAAAGAAAAATATGCCCTTCATCCCCCTTCTACTTTACCAAATGCCACTAAAAAAAGCTATCTTTTTTTCTTAAATGACCTTCCCTCGAGTTAGTGATAGCTACCCATCCTGGTTTTTAAATACTTGGAGAGCAGCAAAAATTATAACTATTTTAATCGAAGATGTAAGCAATATAATGACTTACAATAATACATTATATAGCACCTCCGAGCTACCTCATAATTTACCCATAGGGAATATACCTTAAAAGGAAAGGATCTAATATTCCAAACCAATTATCCTCCAATTAAAAATAAATTTTTTAAGAAGGAAAAGATATCCCATAATTTCCCTCCCCAATTAGCATATGATCAGGCATGTTACTTCCCTTTCATTGCCATAAATTCTCAAAATGTTGCAGCATGGATCACCCTAAGAATTTTAGCATAAGAATAAAGATGTATCTGACACAGTGGGGGAGCTGGGAGGGGTCCTGGCAGGCAGGAGACAAGGGACAGTGAAAATAAGTCCATACCGGACGGGCCAGACTTCAGTGTCCGGCATGCTGGGACGCAGGACAGGCAGCTGAGCCCACTGGACTCCTCTCCTGCACAACTCGGGACTGAAGACCAGAACCACACGTATGCCATGCTCACGCATCCTCCAAGCGTCCGAGGAGACACCAGATGGGAGCAAACATCACCAATTGCTCAGGGCAGAACTGTGTGCGAAGAGCAAGAGTCGCCTCCCCCACCCTCTCCTGATCTTCCCTCTGCGGGTGTCTGCGTCCTGACCTCCTCTACATGTAAGGACCCCACATTGGAGCAGGGCTCACCCTTATGACCTCATTCTAACTTACCTCTTTCCCTAGTGGCTCTTAGTCCACTTGCCAACGCAGGAGACATGGGTTTGATCCCTGGGTTGGGATGATCTTCTGGAGAAGGAAATGGCAACCCACTCCAGCATTCTTGCCTGGGAAATCCCATGGAGAGAGGAGCCTGGCAGGCAACAGTCCACGTGGTCATGAAAGAGTTGGACACGACTTAGCAAGTAAACAACAACCTCTTTCAAGATCCTGTCTTCAAATACAGTCATGTTCTGAGGTCCTGAGGGCTAGGATTTCAACATACAAATTTGTATGTGTGTGTTCTGTTGCTCAGTTATGTCCAACTCTTTGCGGCCTGATGAGCCAGCTAGGCTCCTCTGTCCAAGGAATTTTCCAGGCAAGAATACTGGATGGAGTAGGTTGCTGTTTCCTACTCCAGGGGATCTTCCTGACCCAGGGATCAAACCTGAGTCTCTTGCGTCTCCTGCACTGGCAAGCAGATTCTTTGCTACTGTGCCATTTGGGAAGCCCCAATATGAATTTTGGGGGATATAAGTCAGCACATTCAAGTAGAAGAATATCCTTATTTGTAGGAAATATGCACTAAAGGATGTGGAAATAATGTGACAACATGTTAGCCTCCATAAGTCGGGGGCTCCCAAAAAGCTGTTAAAGAAGAATAGTCCAAGAGGAGAATTTTAAGTGTTAATAGGTAGGTGAGCCTGCCACCATGAGCGAAATGACACTGCAGCTCTTTGAAACCTCAGCTCTGAATTTATCCAAGTCCTTTCCTCCTATCCTTTACCAAGATAAATGCTTTACTAAGCAAAGCATTCTTCGGATAACCCATTACCAACTGTTGGCGTGAATTCTTAATACTCTGCAAGAAAATGATCCTGGAAAGCATAAAATATTTACGGCCTGCTGTCTGCTCTGCCTCACTTGAGGAAAATTCTCATCTGTACACAAATGTTCTTCAGCTTTGGGGAACAGATGGTGGAGAGTAATAAGAAGGCTAAAAAATTAGAAGCAGGAGCAGAGCACAGTACCCAGCCAGGGAAGCTGAGCCCCGTGGGGAACAAGTGTCTGGATGTTCTTGAGACAAAGAACTTGAACGCGCATCGCAGAATTTGTCCATCAGATTCTGTCCCTTTCTCCTCTTAATTTTGTATACGTCTCCTTCCATCCCCTAGGAACGTGTTGTCCAGCACACTACCCTGCCCTTGGGCCACTGCACAGGATGTCACGGCAAGGCATCATTAATTCCCTCCCCTCTGCAGGGCAGGTGACCTTGAGAAAGAGACCACACGCGCTTTCCCTCTCAGGAGTGAACCCTCTGACGCACCCCCTTTCTTCACTCCCCTCTGCTTCCCTAGGAATTGCCAGCAGCCCCTACACGAATGCATACACGAACGCCTACTCCCTCTTACTGGCTTTAGGTCTGTCTGACCTAATCACGATATTGTGTCATCACTGAAATAGGCTCTCAAGGGACTCCACCATCACATAGCCAGCTTTGTTAAGGCTCGTTCACCCGGGCAACGCTGCCGAACAGGGCCACACCTGTGCCTCATAAACAGACGGGGACCTGAAGGACAGCCACTCATGCGCCAAGTCCTGACTTCTAAAGGCCACCAAAAATCAAACACTCCCTGTTGCATTCACAGTGCTGTTTGGTGCATTTGATATTAACTTTTCTTTCCTGCGTGTCATTACAAGTTTGCAAACCTTCAAAACTTTATCTTACTCGAATTAAGGGTGCTATTTTCTTTGTGATGCTCAAATCGTTGCAGTGAGATGAGCAGAAAGCCCTTTGTGCTAGCTGTCTTGTCCTGATGTCATTGAGATCCCGTGTTCGGAGAGGATTACCTTGCCAGGAGCAGTGGTGGAGTCACTATGATATTAGAGCTGTGGATACCGAGTGTAGGCATGCGAGCTGGAGGTGGGCGGGGGGATGTGCAGAAATGATGCTCCTGCTGCCCTCCCTAGGCCACATTTTATGATGAAACTGGAGAAAATATTTCTTTTCAAGGTCATACTTTTAAATTAATTTAACTTTATCACTTACCATTGAATTAGCTTGAATACGGAATTAAATATTTTAATTGTTTCCAGTTTATTTCTTCTAAAACCTACCTCTTTTAATCTTTAAACCTCTCTCCAAAACTATAATCATGCCTCCTTCTTCCTAACAAGCTGCTTGCATCTCACTAACCCCCATTCTGTAGTCAGTTCATTGACTCTTCCATTCAAAAGCCCATCATACTTGTGTTTGTGGAATTGAGACCCTAAACCCAGGCACAGGAGTATAGGCCATAGGCTACAAGTCACAGGCCAGTGGGGGTGGGGGGTGTTCAGGAGAACTGACCCTCCTAACTCCCCTCAGTCTCTCCACCAGGGGTCTAGTCACCAGGGCCACCACCACAGAACAGAGCTCCAGGCTTATTTGTCTAAAGTTGCCATTCTGAGAACCTCTGGAGCCATCGTGACTCAATGAGGACAACACACAATGTATTTTCTGCCTTAGAGAAATCAAGCAAAGTAAGATTCTTTCCTTTGGTCTCCAAAAAGCCAGTAGAAAGTTTCACCGCTCCTGTGTTTTAATAAAGGGAAATATCTTTAAATGAAATTTTTACATCCTTGGACAGAACTCCTGGGTAATGACTCTGGGTAACAGCCCAAGCATCCTGTCTGCCCAGCTAATTGTTCAACAGCCTCCTATCACATTTACAGTTTGCCTCCTTATCGTCTGCTGCTGCTGCTGCTGCTGCTAAGTCGCTTCAGTCGTGTCCGACTCTGTGCAACCCCATAGACGGCAGCCCACCAGGCTCCACCGTCCCTGGGATTCTCCAGGCAAGAACACTGGAGTGGGCTGCCATTTCCTTCTCCAATGCATGAAAGTGAAAAGTGAAAGTAAAGTCCCTCAGTCGTATCCGACTCTTCGCGACCCCATGGACTGCAGCCCACCAGACTCCTCCGTCCATGGGATTTTCCAGGCAAGAGTACTGGAGTGGGGTGCCATTGCCTTCTCCGCCTTACCGTCTAGGGAGTCCCTAATAGGTTTTTATTGGGTAAAACTTAAATGGTTGCAATCCTGATTCATAATGACGCAGCTTCTGGCAAATCAAACATTTAGGGCTGGGCTCCCTAAATTTCATGTCATATATTATTTTCTACTGTTAGATCCACTCCTGAGTTTGTGTCTGTATCAAACTCTTTCCTGTAAGTAGAGATTTACCCTAAAGGGATACTCTTGGATTCAAATAGTCATTATTCATTGAGCCTAAGGAGTTTAAGGAGTTTTCAGTGTGATTGTAATTGAATCTGTAACATTACTCAAGCATTTTCCTGTAGTTTCCAAAACGTAAACAACTTGCTTATTGTCCTTCTGAGTATGCCATTACTCTACTCAGAAATATGCTGTGGTTCCAAATTGCTTCTCAAAGACCCATCCCCCCCTCTATCTCATACTTTCGGAATTCTCTACAGCCCACAACATGCTGTCTCAAGAGTCAGCTACAATCAAGACACTATATTCATGACCATATTTTGCTGTCTTTTCCACTCCATCTACCGTAACTTCAACCCGATTGATCATTTATTTAGAGATAATAAGTTAAATGTCAGGGAAAACACATGTCCCAAGGTCAAACACAACAAAGGATGAGATTGAATTTACTACCATCTACTTCCTTGTCCATTGTGCGTGTGTGCGTACATAGTCATATGCAATTCTTTGTTATCCAATGGACTGTAGCCCACCAAGCTCCTCTGTACATGCGACTTTCCAGGCAAGAATACTGGAGCAGGTGGCCATTTCCTCCTTCAGGGGATCTTCCCAACCCAGGTACCGAACCTGTGTCTTCCGCATCGCAGGTAGATTCTTTACAGAGAGCCAGCAGGGAAGCTCTCCTTATCCATTACTATTGACAAATTTCACAAAATATTGGAAAATGGAAAAATGGATAAACTATATGAAGCTAATTATTATATCCTGGAGACTTTGAGTTCCTAATTATTTTGATTAATTTTTTAAACCTCTCATTGGGTTCAACAATTTGATTTATATAATGTACATAGACTGATTTTATGTTTTTTTAACTGTTATTATCAAAAAAAGTAGTATTCCAAATTAACCTTTTTTTTTTCCCATTTACAAATTAACCTTTTTTAATTGAAGAAGGGTCTCTTTCCTTTTCTTGCAAATGGGCTTTGCGGGCTGGGCAGGGTCGGAGACTGAAACCCAGGGCGCCGGGGGCTATGGAACTGTGTGAGCAGAGGCGGCCCATTGGCTGTTGTCGCAGGCTTCTAAGCACGCACAGTGCTGTTAATTCAGCTTTTAACAGGCACATAAAATACACTGAAGCCTTATTTTCTTTAGCTTTGAACACACAGACACAAAATCTTAACACATGGGGATAGCAAAAGAAAAAGCAACAGCTGTTTATTAAATATTACATGTCCGCATCAGGCATGGTATTCTATGCCAAATTTGTATGTAACAAAAGCAGTGGGGGGGAAAGCAAGAGAATAAAAAGCTTTTAATTTTGAGGCACTTTGAACCTCCTGCTGCCCTGATAGACATGTAAAATATACATGAGGGTCCAGAGCCAGGGTCCCCAAACTGGGGGCAGGGACGGGGACGGGGGCGGGCCGGGGAGAGAACAGAGCAAACCGCCCTGAAGCACGCAGTCCGCCAAAGGGTGCAGGGTATGCTCACCACCCGCAACTCCCCCACATCCCTTCCATGTAAAGGCCGGCACACGTGTCTTCTTGCTCTCTCTGTGGGCTTCCCAGGTGGTGTTAGTGGTAAAGAACCCGCCTGCTAATGCAGGAGAGGTAAGAGACCCAGGTTTGATCCCTGGGTCAGGAAGATCCCCTGGAGGAGGAAATGGCAACCCACTCCAATATTCTTGCCTGGAGAAGCCCATGGACAGAGGAGCCTGGCGGGCTACAGTCAGTCCACAGGTTGCAAAGAATCGGACACAACTGAAATAACTAAGCACGCATGTCTTTTTGCTCTCTTTATTGTTCCTGTTTTGCCCCTTATTTTTCTCTCCTGTTACTGGGGGGTTGGCAGCTTGTCATTTGGGGACCATTCCCAGCTTCTAGGGGCCACTCCCATCCCGAGTCTCCTGGTTCCTGCCCTTCATCTTCAAAGTCAGCAAGATGGGCCATGCCCCTCTCACACCTTGAATGAATCTCTCCTCCATCCTCCCTTTCCTCCATTCCAACCCAGTCACCAATGAGGCTTCACTTTTAAGGACTCACATGATGAACGTCACCCAACATCAGGTACCCAGTAAGTAGCAGCACCTGGTTTGAAACCCAGGTACTAGAGGCTGGGCCCTTAACCACTTGTGGAGTGAAGGTGTTAGTCACTCAGTCGTGTCTGACTCCTGTGACCCCATGGACTGTAGCCCACCAGGATCCTCTGTCCATGGGCTTCTCTAGGCAAGAATACTGGAGGGGGTTGCAATTCCTTCCTCCAGGGGATCTTCCCAACCAAGGGATCGAACCCAGATCTCCTGCATTGCCGGCAGTTTCTTTACCATTTCAGCCACCAGGGAAGTTCCTCTTTCCTAATAAAAAAAACAACAAAGAGAAATCAGCAGTGGGCCAGCCACACTGGAGACCGAAGTGGAAAGAAAAGTCAGTTCAGCTGACCCCGTCTTTACCTAGAACACCAATAGGTTCGTTTATCATGGAAACTTTGCATTTATTTTTACTTTTAATATATTTCACAAAAATGTCATTTACCGTGATCTCTGCCTTTCTGGATCTCCCTGCCCCGCCCCAAAGCTGTGTCCAAGGTGAGGGGCTCCCTCTCCTCCCTGGGTCCTCAGAGGAAAGAGCACACTGCTGGTTCACCCAGGGAGAAGCCAGTTCTGACCCCCTGTTGGAACTGCGTGACTTACTTTATCGTTGTTGCTGTTATTGTAATCATACATGATGGCCTGCCTCAGAGAATCCTGCCTCTCTGCCTGACTGTTCAGCTAAAGTGCCTTTGTTCAGAAGCCAGTCCACCTGTGGATGGCAGGAAGGAAGCAACACATCCTCCAGCCTGAGGTTTGCCATTCTAGGAGATATCTGCAAGACTGATGGCCTTTCTACTTTGTTTCCTCACCTTCCCCCATCTCTGATTCATAAGGGAACCTGGCATCCAAACCCAGGTGAGATGATTATGTTCAGACATTTGTCTGCCATCTTCTCAATCAGCTGGTTCTCCAAATAAAGTCATATTCCTTGCCTCAACACCTCGTCTCCCAGTGAGCAGAGTGAGCTTGGACTCAGTAACACGCTGATTGCACTGAGAGTGAATCTAGGCACACAAACGTGAACTTAAAAGATATTCACAACCGAAAAGTTGAGAGGTTTTTTGGTGTGTGTGTTTGTGTGTGTGTGTGTGTGTGTGTGTGTGTTTTGGCTGGGAATTTTTAGGACTTAAGCCCAAGAAGCAGCATCTCAAGTGACCCTGGGAGAACCGCTCCAATGAGGAGAGGAGGAGAAAGCCAGGTTATGTAGGAGTTTTGCAACAAAGGGCAGGTTCAGTTCAGTTCAGTTCAGTCGCTCAGGGTCCGACTCTTTTCGACCCCATGGACTGCAGCACGTCAGGCCTCCCTGTCAACCACCAACTCCCGGAGTTTACTCAAACCCATGTCCATTGAGTCAGTGATGCCATGCAACCATCTCATCCTCTGTTGTCCTCTTCTCCTCCCACCTTCAATCTTTCCCAGCATGCAGGTCTTTTCCAAGGAGTCAGTTCTTTGCGTCAGGTGGCCAAACTGGAGCGTCAGCTTCAGCATCAATCCTTCCAATGAATGTTCAAGGGCAGGTAGTCAGAACATCAAAAAGATTATTGTTAACTAAAGAAAACCAAATGTCTGAGGCTAAGGAATTTAGACTTTTCTCTGTATGGGAAAAATGCAAGAGTCCGGGCTCTCTGAAACCAGTCCTTTGAGATGCACCTCCGCTATCCCGGGCCAGCGTCCTGTGTTTTCACAACCTGCTTTCCAGAGGGCTCACCTTAGGGCAGGGGCTGCAGTCTGATGGCTGCTAGAGGGCAGGTATTCTTTCCTTCCAGAGTGCCCTCAGGGCTCACCAGCTCATCGTTAGCTGCGGCTGGAACACTGATGATTGATAGGTCAGGAAAGATTCCATTTCTCACAAGCAACTTCCCCAGACCGAGAACTATAAGCCGCTTAAAAATAGTGACCCCCACATGATAGAAAATGGAAAGTGAACCGAAAACTGTTCATAATAAGCAGACACACACAGAGTAGTACCTCTTATCTTTACCTTTCTGTCGACCGAGAGGCGAGGTGAGTCACCAGGTGGAGACAGGACTCCTCCTCACTGGTGTGGGCTGCCCTTTTTCGGAAGCGGCCCCAAGCTGTTCAGAATTTCGTTTGCCCAGAAGAGGGAGCTCTGGTTTTTGCTTCCCCAGCATCTAAGGCGCTGCGGTCTCTGTTCCTTTGTTTTGTAAACAGACGAAGAGTATTAAGAAGTCTGTATAAAAGGCCAAGTTACTGTGTGAGATGATCACACCGTTCCTGCTGCAAACGTCTCTCTCCCCGTCTCTCCCGTCCTTCTCGCCCGCGTGTCCTGGGAACGGCCATCTTGAGGACCGTTTCTCGAGCTTTAACCCTCTGGAGCCACTAGAGGGCAACAGACACCCACCAAAATGAATCTCAGCTCCGTGGACTACAATAAACTGATAATTACAAAGGCATTCTTTCAAGACAACCCTTTTTAGATTGTCTTTTAAAGAGTCTGTTCTTTTAGTATTCGTTTTATATATAGTATTCATTTCAACCTAAAGAACCCCTAGGAAGTTCAATTAAATGTAAAGTAAAAAGCCAACTCATTGGAAAAGACCCTGATGCTGGGAAAGATTGAAGGCAGGAAGAGAAGGCGTCTCGACAGAGGATGAGACGGTTGGATGGCAGCACCAACTCAATGGACATGAGTTTGGGTCAACTCCAGGGGATAGTGAAGGACAGGAAAGCCTGGCGTGCTGCAGTCCACGGGGTCGCCAAGAGTCAGACAGGACTGGACAACAGCAAAAGCTATTTACACAGCCTCCACGTGCTCAACAGATACTTAAACGCTGTGTATGCATTCTGTAAGAGTGTGCTGGACAGTGAGGTCACAAAATTGAGCAAGATTCAGTCCTTTTCTCTGAGAGCAGATAGATTAGAAGCATAAAGAATTCACTATAGCAATGGACGGTGAGCGTCAGGGTAGACCCAGGATAAGGCAGTGCAGGTGAGAGAGACTCAGTGCTTGTAGTTATGTGGGGTGGGGGGGGTGGGGGGGAGGGGAGTCAGCTAAAGACAGGAGCAAAGAGGGAACATGACCTATGACCCCATGAAAGCAATGTGCGTGCATTTCCTGTGCAAAGTGGAGTGAGCTACATACTCCAGTGTTTATCAGCTGAGAGTTAGAGGGTCTGTAATCACCCCCACACTCTCCCAAAGAGGCTTGTTCATCGGATTTATCAGAGTAAACACACAAACAACAAACCAGGGTCATCCCCAAGACCTGACTGCATCAGAAATCTAAAGGGACCTGCCAAGCACTGTAAGAAATAGAACTTTTTGAAACCCTTTAAAAGACATTCTTAATTTTAAAGAAAGCCTAAAAACAAAACGTATTTTCTCCAAAAGCCATGTTTTTCTCTAAAAATCTCCCTCCCCTCCCACTTTGAGAAGCCAGAGGAATCTGAATCTGGTGGGTGTTAAGCTGGGTCCTTTTGGTGAAGGGGGGAGGCCTTCTCCTCTCTTTGGACTAATGAGGAGGTAACTGGTAAGTCGTTGAACAAATAAAACGCCTGCCAATGAAAAGAGCGGGTGCTGGCCTTTGTCCCACTCGGGGCTCGGGGCCAGCTCTGATCAGAGGGCAATCAAGGCAGCCCTGAGCTCTGGGAGGTATCAGCTAAGCCCTCTGTCCCCAGGAGCTCCCAGAATGGCAAACGGGGGCAGAGGAGCCTGGGGGTGAAGACGCCCCTGAAAACCATGTCTGACATCAGTCTCTGGCCCTCAACTGTCAGAGCCATGGGCTGGGGTGCCTCTCCATCTCCTGACCCTGGGGATTTAGGTTCTCAGCAGGAGAGAAGGGCGGCAGAAATGCTGGCCAAGCCCCTCGAGGTGGGGGTGGAGCCTCCAGAGCCCCCCAGGTCCTGCTCCTGAAGACTGCACAGGGAGGGATCTGAGGGCACCAAGCTGATGAGGATGAGGGGGCGTCCCCAAGGGGGCTGGCTTCGGACGCACAGTCCAGCTCCGTGAGTGCTGGGCCCAGCGCACTCCTCTCAGTGTTCAGGCCTGAAACTCCCACATCCTGGAGAGCAGGGCCTGGGGACAGTCATCTAGATAAACACGCAGCTTTAGTGCTCAGTGGCTTCCCAGGTGCCTAAGACAGTAAAGAACCCTCCTGCCAATGCAGGAGACGTGGGTCCCATCCTTGGATGGGGAAGATCCCCTGGAGGCGGGCAGCGCAGCCCACTCCAGTGTTCTTGCCTGGAGAATCCCATGGACAGAGGAGCCTGGAGGGTTACAGTCCATGGGGTCACAAAGAGTCAGACATGACTGAGCACACACACAGCAGTGCTCAGATGACAGCGGTGACACAAAGAGCCACCGCCCCCAGCCCGCAGGGACCCCAGGACCCCAGTGCAGCCAGAGGCACACAGGTGGCCCAGGGGATCAGACAGAAGACTCAATCTGGCAGGAAGGGTTCCTAGGGGCCAGTGGACACCACGGGGGGTGGGAAAGGGCTGGGAAGGGACCTCTCCCACCCTCGCCACGAGGTACCCCGGCCTGCCGGAGGTAGGCCTCTGGAGAGAGCTGGAGGGCCGAGGTGAGTGGGGGGTCGAGGGGGGCGGTGGGCAGAGGGGGCCAGGGAGGCCCAGGTGACCTATGTCCGGGGCATCTCTCTGGACACAATGCAGAAGATCCGCTCCTTAAACTCGGATCCACGTGTTGTCCCTTTTGTGTCCCTTTGTCCCGTTATGCAATTGTGTGGAGTAGACAGGAAAGGAGGCTTCTTCTCGCGCGGGCGGGGTCTGGAGAGTCGGTGGGCGGGATAGGAGGGGCGATGGGCGGGGGTCGGGAGGGTCGGTGGGCGGGCTGGAAGGGCAGTGGGCGGGGTCTGAAGTAGGAGGTGGGTGGAGTCGGGAAGGTCGGTGGGTGTGGCCAAAGTGGAGACCAGCCCCCAAAGAGGAGGTGTTCAGCAGCTAAAGGAGCAGGATTTGGTTTCTGAGAGACCAAGAGAGTTGAAGGTTGATTTTAAAATGTCAGCAAGTTTTTGAATTTGGACAAGAAGGACAAGATTGTGAAAGAGGAGTCCGGTTTGGGAAACACGGAAGGCAAGGGACTGGAGAAAAGGTGATATGAAGTAATAAAAAGTCGGAGAATGATAGTGACATATGTCAAGCACACATCCAGGGTGATCACTATCATTTATGTCTATCTGCTCAGTCACTTCAGTCGTGTCCAACTCTGTGACCCCGTGGACCTTAGCCCATCAGGCTCCTCTGTCCATGGGATTATCCAGGCAAGAATTCTAGAGTGGGTTGCCATGTCCTCCTCCAGGGAATCTTCCCGACCCAGGGATGGAAACCAGGTCTCTTGAATCTCCTGCACTGCAGGCAGATTCTTTACCTGCCGAGCTGTTGGGAAGCCCCATGTCAATTATCTGTAATAACTAAAATCAAGGTATGCCTACCAGTAGAGCTGCAGGAGACTGGAGCTGATGAATACACAAGAAGGACTGGCAAGTGGCACCCCATGATAAACTATGCTCTGACACCCTTGCAGATATTCCGTTAATCTCTTCAGCGTTAGAAACACCTTTGAAATTGTATTTACACCATTAGTCTGTTCCATTGATGCTGACACTCTCCTAAAGAAAGCTCAGCTTAGCTCATCCCATGAACAAGTTCATAATGGTTGAGTGTGACTGTCTAATATTCGACAGGCATCAAGATAAGGAAGGTTCCAGGGCTGCCAGAGGTAAACTTTGGTGATGGCAAGGAGAGAAGATGGAGATTGCTAGAAGCTACATTCCAAGGTTTAAAAAAGCATCCTTACCCCTCTAAAGATGGGCTCTTTGTTCCTGGGATTAGTTTTTAATATTTCATCTATTTCTACTCCACTTTGGGGCAATCAAGTCCTAAAAAGAGAGACTTCCCTTGCAGCCCAGTGGTTAAGACTCTGAGTTTCCAATGCAGGGGGCGTCAGTTTGATTCCTGGTCAGGGAACTAAGATCCCACATCCCTCACAGTGCAGCTAAAATTTAAAAAAAAAAAAAAAAGTTCCAAGAAGGGAACCTCCTAATATTTGAATTAGAAAGTACAGAGCAGAGCTTGAAAAGCCTCACGTCCACCTGGGGCACCCTTCAGAAGCATTTCCAGTCCATTGCTGTGTGGCTTCCCAGGTGGCATTAGTGGTAAAGAACCTGTCTACCAATGCAGGTGACATAAGAGATGAGGGTTCAATCCCTGGATGGGGAAGATCTCCTGGAGGAGGAAATGGCAACCCACTGCAGTATTCTTGCCTGGAGAATCCCATGGACAGAGGAGCCTGGTGGGCCACAGTCCCCGGGGTCACAAAGAGTCAGACATGGCTGAAGGATAGGAACAAGCCCTGAGGTGAAGGTTACAGAACAGCTAAGGGGACCGGAGCCCTCACTTTTCAGTGTCTGTCTTGCCCACTTCCCACAAAGCTGACATGCGTGCCACTGATTTGAGGACTCTGGACCCACTGACCACTGTCTTCCCTCAAATCCAAATGCGCTGGGTGGGGGGGTGGAGGCGGGAAATGTCGGCTCTTCCTCTAGATTGCTCCCTTCAGAGCTCTGAGCCGGGGTTTTTATTGTCTGGATGGAGAACCAGAAGGCAGAAATGAGTGCAGGAAAAGGCAAGCGCGACTGGCGTGCCATTCTGGAAAACTCCAGACAACGAACTCTACACATCCCCTCATAATTATTTTACTGGAATGAGGAGGAGAACGAAGTAGATATCACCTCAGAGGCTGGGAAGATGTCACCTTCCTGCACAAGGAGCCTTGTACTGGTAAAAGCATGGAGCCTGGAGGTCTTATGACCCAAGAAGCTTGGAACAAGCTCCTCAGTCTCTGTTTCCTCATCTCTGAGCCAGGGTATTTGCAATCCCTTCAAATCTTTCAGGGAGGAGGACAAGGAGGGAGCAGGTATGCCACAGTCAGAGTACGCCCAGCTCAGCAAATGCTATTATTGTTACTTTCTCCTTGGAGAGAGAAGTAAAAGTCATCTCAGTCATGTGTGCTGAGTGACAGTCAGCAGAAGGAGACAGGAAAAACGTGTCTTGGTGTAATAATCTTATTTCACAATAACCAGACTCTGTGCCAGTACTGCTTAGGCACCTCAGACAGGTTGTAAAGGAGATAAGACCCTGAAACTGGGGAGAAGTGCTGAGAAAGAAGAAGGTCCGACCCCGTGGCCCAGGAGCTGGGGTTGGGGGGAGTGCCCCATAAAACAGCAGAGGCTGGGAGGATGGGATGGAGTTCCACCTTCCGCTCTGGGCCAGCGGGAGGCAAGATGCTAGCAGGTCTTCCCTGGGGCTGGGGGTCTGGGGGGAGGCAGTAAGTGCCACTTCTATCTTTGTTCACAAAACTCAAATGCATAGATCTTCTGATTTTCTTCCTAAGTATCTAATGTAAGTGAAGTGAAAGTGTTAGTCATTCAGTCGTGTCTGACTCTTTGTGACCCCGTGGACTGTAGCCCGCCAGGCTCATCTGCCCATGAAATCCTCCAGGCAAGGATACTGGAGTG